AAGTAGAAACCGAAAGAGGTGATGCCGGTTATCTTCAGATGGATTGCGCCCGTGAATCTTTCGCATTTGCAACATATAAACCAAAATCAGAAAGGAAAGTTGAAAAGTTTGTTCATTCGTTATATAATAATGTTCAAAATATGATAACTCAGTATGTGGTAAATATATTGACCCTTCAGAAGTTTTCAAGAACGCAAATGAAGAAGTTGATATCACTTTTGATATGATTATTCCGGTAAATGATTTGTTAGCATTTCAGGCGTTCGATGATTATCCTAAATCATTTGGTGAAATCATTCTTAAATATTATGTTTTCAGGGATACTTTAGTATTTTGTCAGGTTGACCCGTTAAGAGTTGCTGATTTACAAAATTACGTTTATGAAAAGATAACTGATGAAAATTATGAAAAGATTATGAATCATGTTTATAAATATGATCGCAAATTCCAAACAAATCGGACTTCCTACCAAATTAATTACAAGCTTAGCCGCTACATCTGCTGACGCAACAGTTGATAACGTTATTATTTCATGCACAAAGATGGAAGTTTTAGAGGATAAATGCATTACACCAGGATACGTTTAATTGAAGAATCAGTTAAAGCAATACCACGTTTATTCAGTAAGGAAGATCCATTCATGATTCCAGCTCAACATATTGACGTTCGTTCACTAAATGGAGGTTGCATCACTCCTGAAATTAGCTCAGATTTCTCATACGCTCTTCATAATGTTACAGATGTTGTGTTAACATTTCCGAAGAATGCAATGCAAAGAACAGTTTTAGAAAATCCAATGCTTCGAGGCCTTCAGGTCACTATAGATTCCAGAAACTTCCTCGATCAAGCGATGACCACAGTGGGCGACATATTCTTTACACGTATGCTTCAAGCTTCTGATTTAGATGGAGTGAATGAATGCACGGAAGAATATGAGGACTCATTAACTAGACCACTGAATGATGATAATGGCACGCCATTAGCTAGAACATGGAAAGACCAAACTTCATTCTTATGCACTATTCCAGTTCAACGTGATGGAGCGGGTATATTCTTTGATGGATTAGAAACTTTCAACTCACAAGTTACAGTACAAGTGAAAGCTTATCCAATCATTCAGGGTGTAAATGACACTTACTGTTCAAAGGTGACAAATCCTCCTCAGGTTTGGTTTACTAGGACTACGTATTTGGACATGGACACCGGATGAAGGTTTGAAATATCATCCAACAGGTACACCCCCACAGTATAGAAGTTCATATGATGAAATATTGATGAATAGAAAATGTTTAAAATTATAAATTTATTTTTGATTAAATGGATTTAAATTCATCCACCCCTTATGAAGAATTAGCGGGAGTATATAATACATACGTAGATGATATGATTAATGAAGCATTGAGTGATAATAGAAATGCTCTATCTAAGGAAAAATTAATGAAAATTCCATATTCTGAATGTTACTTAAATTCAATCACTGCAGCAATTGGTAAACAAAATAAAGGTAAAACATTAACGATATTAAAACAAATTATCATTATTGCTAACACTTCCCCCATTCACATGTGTTAATTTATATCAACCGTTCAGGTTCACCTTCAGATGATACATTTGAATCTTTAAAGCATTTAATCAAAATTCCAATTATTTATTTATCACAAGAAGAAGCAGAAGATTATTTAAAAAACTTTTTAATGTATAAAGAATTATATAATACAATCAAGAAGCAAGGATTAGAGGATAAAATTATTGATAAACAACGGGATGAATTATTTGAAAACACTTCTATTTCAAATTTTGATAGAGAATTTTTGCATTCACTCATTTTTCTAGATGATGCAGTGAAATCAAAACTAATAACAAATGAGAAATCATATTTTAATCAGTTATTAACTCAATGTCGACACATTCAGTGTTCATTCTTTATGGCTGTTCAATATTTCAAAGCATTAAGCACAAACATTAAATCAAATCTATCAACCTTTTCATTTTCAGTGGTTTAGTCGTCAACAGTTGAACGTTATGCTTTATCAAGTGAATTTACCAATGAGCATTAATGAACTTTACACACAATATCAGCAATTAGGTGAACATGGAAAAATAATAGTTGATTTAAATAAAGGAGTGTTAAATTTGATTAACTTTTTATAATTAATTTTTATTTTTTATTTATAATTAAACATGACAGAAATGGTAAATCTTCTACAGGTTCCATTAAAACAAGGACAAACAAAAGGGTGCATATAATAAACTATGAAAGTTCCTGATGGAATGAAAGAATTAGTTCATATTGTTGCTGGTCTTCAAAAAGATGTTAAACAAATGAGAAACGTTTTAACATTACCAGAAGCTCAAGCATATGCCAAAAGTCAAGGTCCAAATTGGGAAGCACACGAAGCAGACATTACGGTCCAAATGGAAAACCGATGGTATAAATGAAGTTTTCGTTACTGATGGTCAAGGTAATATTAAAGTCATAAATGGTTACAAATTAACTATATCTGATTATTCTAAACGTAAAGCATATAATGAACGTTATCCTATGCAATTTGATGAAAATGGAAAAGCTGTTAAACAATACATTGGAGAAGGTGAAAATGGTCCAATTAATTCATACCGTCATAATCCATATTCTTATTTCAATGAAGAATTAAATGCTATTCAAGAGGGACCGGATGGATTACCACGATATTCTAACCAGTTTGATGGTCAATATGCAAATATTAGACCTGAAATTTCAGCGAAGAAATTCTTTAAAGTTGCTTTATTCGATCCAGTTTTCGCAAATGTTAAAGATGAACTTAAACAGCAATTCCAACCAATTATAGTAGCAAGAATTGCATCAGGTGCTTTATCTCAAGCATTCAAAGATTTAATTAAGAAACCATTATATCAGCAACGTGGTTTAACTTATGATTTAGTTAAGGAATCAGATAAAAGAAAATTTGAGAAATCAGATGATTAAGAATGCAATTAATGAATATATTCGGTCTATTAATTTCGATGAAAATGCTAAAAATCAACTTCATGAACAAATACAGGAATAATAGATTCAAAAGTTCCAGCAAAATAAAAGTTTAAATATATTTTTTTATTCGAATATAAATGAGAAGACGTTTCACTAGTCAAAAGAACACTAACGCAAAAGCAGAGATTACGGTTGGTTATAACGTAAATGATGATAAATCACGAATTATTCAAAATGTTAAAGTTAATGTTAGCCCGAATTAACAAGGTCAGCAACTCAACCAAATTTATTAACTCGTGACTTACCGAAGAATGAGGAGAATGAAGAAAACCATGAGAATGGAGACCCAATCATTTTATCTGAACCGGTAAAGAACCTGTTGAAATTCCCACTTATCCAACATACCCCCACCTCTTTCATCAAACATCGAGAACCCATAAAATAGACATTAATTCTGAATTAATGAAAATTTACCGTGATATAATAATTAATAATTATGATTCAATAATAAATTTAATTGACCAATCCGTTTAATTATTTTACCTTATGAATCATTAATTCACATTATCGCCATTCTTTGTGATGTTCAAGATTCAGACGTTAAGATTCAATTTTCATAGATGATGAGGTTTCATGCTGCGGAACAGTTGCAAAAATAAATCCTATAAAGGATATTAGCACAATTAAGATATCAAAGAACGGAACAACAACTGAACTTCATTTAACATATAATGATATTTATAATAAAATAGTTGATGAATATAAAATATCACTTGAAAAATTCTTTGTTAAGGCTATTTAATATTCAAGCATTAACATTATCGAATAATAATCCTTTGAATCATAATCGATAATAATTGACCTTTCACCAGTTTCTATCGTTTGTTTTATTTCTTTTGTTCCCCACTATCTGGATCGGTCATTGTAATTGTTTTTGTTATAGTATCAGCTTTATCTTTAACTTCAATCTTTTTTCCATCGGGATATTTAAACCAAAATTCCAAAAATTCGATATTGTCAATCTGTTCATATTTTAATCTATCAATTACATTTTTAATACCATCTGAAAATCTTATGAAATGGTCATTATATGGGTTTGATTGAACTAAATTTGAATGAAGTGAAATATAACCTGTTGATGAATATGACATTGACTCATATTTTCTGAAAACACTAAAATTTATAACATGAATGAATTTCTTATTCGTTGAATTTATGAATTCTTGAGGTAATCTTATTCTAGTTTTTATTTATCACTGGAAAATAACGCTTTACCATATTTTTAATCGTAATAAAAATGTCAATTATCAATATTATTTCGAATAATAACTGTGAATTAAATTTAACAGTTAGCGGAATTTATAATGTTACTCTCGTTTCTGTGAGTGGTAAATTTAATCCCATTCTTTTAGACCCTTCAGATTATATATCATTTATTAAAGATGACCATGAAAAAACGTATGATATGTATATAAATAATGTGATAACGAAATGGGATATTAACATGATTTTAAGTTATTTAAATGAATCATTTATCGTATGGTATGAAGAAAATTTTAAATCAAAACCTGATAAACTTTTTGAACTTGATGAAATAAATAACCTTATTAAATTCCCGCTGAAAATTAAATTTTGTACTCCTCATCTTCGTTCATTGTTGGGGATATTAAATTTTGAAAAAGATGTTGGGGATGTTTTGTATTCTGATACTGGTTCCAATTTCATTTTAATCAAATGTGATAAAGTTAATACCCCAATGAGATTTTCACATCAAACATTAGACCCCAACTCTTACCCATCAATACAAAACATTTTATCCATCAACTTAAACACATTTTCTTTATCATATCCGTTTCAATTATCCGGGAATTCATTTATTCTTCATTCAAAAGATTTATCAAATATTAAATTTAGAATAACTGACCTATTTGATTGTGATTTAAAATTTATGAATGAAATATTATGGCAATTTCAAATAGAAAAAATAGCTGATGAGATAACGGATTAAATATTTATTTTTAAATCATAATAAATGATTAAACAACAGCAACCACAACAACTTAAGGCACAAAGCACCCAGGTCCTTCAGACCATTACATACGCCATATATGCATATAATTCGAAGACGGCAGAACAAACGCAAATGTTGAAATATGGAGATTTGGAGATAGTATTGAAAAATGACCGTTTCGAATTCGTTTGCAAAGGTGGTGCAGTGATATCAAATATAAAAGAAATTTTATTTATGAATTCAAAAATTAAAGGAATAACGGATGATATAACATCAATTCCACCAGAAGAACAGAGATATTACGCATTAAATGCATTTCCTAAAGTTTTGAAGATTGGAAGATTTAATTTAAATGAGGAATTCATAGAAGGTTTCCTAAATGACATAATGAAGAGGGCGGATAAGGAATATGTGGATAGTGAGTTAATGAAGAAGGCAAATTTGGTTTATGTTGATGAAAAAGATAATGAAATTAAAGAAAGGGTTGAATGGTATCATGAATGGACATCAAAGATTTTAAAAACTAAAGCCGATACAGGATGGGTTTCAGGATGTTTAGACCTTAAAGCGGATAAAACATATGTTGATGAAAATTATGCAAAGAAGTCGGAAGTAAATGATGTGATTACAAGCATGAAAAATGAAATACTTCAAACATTATATCCTGTTGGTTCTATTTATACGTCAATGAACTCAACAAATCCATCAACAGTTTTAGGTTTTGGTATGTGGAAGCAGATTGTAGATAAATTCTTATACTGTGCTAGATATTCAAAGCAAACAGGAGGTTCGAAGAAAATTAAAGAAGCAAACCTTCCACCACACACTCATACAGGAACTACAAACACAACAGGAAATCATTCACATTCAATAACAAAAAGAGGTTATATAAATCTTGCAGCAGGTTCGGATAGACAGGGAATGAATAGATATGACATCACAACTGACCCAGTAGATTCAAGCACAAGTATTTTCTGTGGAACCGCAGGAAATCATTCACACACTTTCACAACAAATCCAACAGGCTCGGGTAAAGATTACATGCCACCATTTGTGACTGTGTTCGCATGGTACCGCATTCATTGAACGCGCTTGAGCCTAGACCTTTGGGTTAAGGCTTACCGAATGAACTAAATATATTTTATGTCTGTAATTAATTAGGTAATGAAGTAATGGATGAACTGCAGAAATAATGTTTACGTTAAGTGACTCAAAGAGTCCGGTGACAAAGTCTCATGTTTACGTTAATGGTTTTTAGGTTATTCAATAATTAATTATTTTTGAAGAACTGAAGGTGTCACCACGTCACCATGTGTCACCAGGTTAATTAACTTCTCTGAAAAAATGAGACAACATGACATTTTGACAACAACACAGGAAATTTGATGCAGTACAAAAATAAAGTTAGTTTTAAAATTATTTTTATTTATTTTTTATTTTGTATGTAAGAACAGTAATGTCGGTCGAAGCAAAAACATTCACGAACAAATCTAATGGTGAAACATTCACAAAAGGCACTTATAACGGTATTGAAGTCTTACGTAGAGACAAGGATGGTTACATTAATGCAACAAAGATGTGTCAGCAGTTTAGGAAAGACTTTAGAAAGTTGTTGGAAAATAAGTCCTGGGAAGAGTATTATAAGGCATTTTGTGAAGAATATAGCAACAGTCCGAATTCCGGCGGTTGCTTTTTATACAAAATTCATGCAGGAATTCCTGATGAAATCAAACAGGTTAGAGGAACGTATGTAGACCCAAGACTTATAAACTATATAGCAATGTGGGCTTCTCCAAAATATTGCATAGCAGTTGGAAAAATTATGGACTCCATAGACAAGAAAGTTCATGAGAAATTAGATGAAGAAGAACTCGAAGATACAGTTGAGAATGCTAAACCTTTGTTCGAACAAGAAGTTAGAAAAATGCATGAAAAACAATTAGAACATGAACGTGAGATATGTTATGGTTATAGAGATTCTCCATACGAACTAGACCAATGGGAACAAGAAGATTTAAAGAGAGAATTTAGAGAATATGAACTCGCTAAGATAGCATTAGAAACTGCAGAAAAGAAGTTAAAAGTTTGGGGTTGTTTTGTACAAAAATATTGTGAGTAAATGAACCATTTATTTTTGTCATAAACGACCAAAAATATATTTTATCGTTAATGGTTTTTAGGTTATTCAATAATTAATTATTTTTGAAGAACTGAAGGTGTCACCATGTCACCATGTCACCAGGTTAATTAACTTCTCTGAAAAAATGAGACAACATGACATTTAGACAACAGTCCTGGAAATAAACATGAGCGTAAACACTTTGTCAAACATGAGCGTAAATGCTTTGTCATGACTTCTTCATCGTAATGAGTGTAAATGACCCAAAAATATATTTTAGGTGAAGAGGTGAGATCTCACCTAATTTCTCACCTCATGAATTTTCATGACTTCATCGTAATGAACGTAAACTCTATGTCAAACATGAGCGTAAATGCTTTGTCAAACATGAGCGTAAATGCTTTGTCATGACTTCTTCATCGTAATGAGTGTAAATGACCCAAAAATATATTTTAGGTGAAGAGGTGAGATCTCACCTAATTTCTACCCTCATTTTTCACCCTGTTGAATTTTCATGAATTTCCTTAAGACAGAAGAAATAAAGTTAGTTTTATTTTTATTTTTTTATTTTGTATAAAAGATATGATTTCAACAATCGGCACAACAACAATTCAAGCCACGAACGGCGGGACTCTGTCCACAACTACGGCACCAAATTCATTAATCATGAATCCTACGTCAATGCTGGTAGAGATGAAAAGCTTTATTCCTTCTTCATATACTTTTGAAACAGAAATACAAAGAATTAAGCAAGAACTTTTAACAAGTAATTTAGACTGTAGTGCGAAAGATGAAACAAATGGAGAGGAGCTATATGAAATGCAAGATATCATAGACCATTTGCCTAAATTGCCTGAAATTCAGCAACAAAAACTAACTATTCCTGAATTCGATGAAATTGAAGTTAAAGTTACTGATTCAGTAGAAATAAAGAAGTTCATACGTAAAGTAAATTATGAATTCCTTGGTTTTCATTGCAACCATAAAGTTATGAACAAAGATTGCGACATGATTTATAAAAACATCTCTGACATATATAAATCTGGGGAGTTTAAGACTTACGATAACTTTGTTTCATTAGTTGCTGAATGTGTGTGGCAGATAAGAGATAAAGACAGAAGAGGCAAAGTATGGAATGGACAAATAAAACCAACAACTTTTGAGTTAAAGAAAACCATTGACGCCTTAGTTGTTCTAGCAGGTCAAATTTCAATGTATAACGCAAAAATGAATCCGCAATGTTCAAAATGAAAAGCAGCAATGAGGAAATATAACTACTCCGTCAAAGAGATAGAACGTATGAGAAACGACTATGCTGACTTAAAGAAAGAAGTAGAGAAACCAGCAGAAGATAAAATGGACATGTTGACATTTCTGAACAAAAACTATCCAACAGCTGACGATTTCCTTCTATCTGATGTCAAGAAGAAGTATAAAGAAACTTTCGGCATTGTTAAAACTTTTGACATACTGACAGAAGAAATAGAAGCTACGAAATTGTTTAGAATTTCAAATATACATCGTACAATTCACGTTAAACGCTTATAAAATAACTGGGGTGAAAAATTAGGTGAGAAATTAGGTGAGATCTCACCTCTTCACCTAAAATATATTTTTGGGTCATTAACGTTCATGTTTGACATAGAGTTTACGTTCATTACGATGAAGTCATGACAAAACATTTACGATGAAATACCTGTAAATGATGCTTTATAAAGTATGATTTGAATTTATTTTTGCATTAATCCTGCTGTGTTGTTGTCAAAATGTCATGTTGTCTCATTTTTTCAGAGAAGTTAAATTACCTGGTGACATGGTGACATGGTGACACCTTCAGTTCTTCAAAAATAATTCATAATTGAATAACCTGAAAACATTAACGATAAAATAACTGATAACAAAATTTTATTTTTATATAAATGGATACCCCACAAGCTCAAAATTTACCACGAATCATAACAAGGGAGGAAACGATAAAAATGATGCGAGAACTTGCTAAAAATAACAAACCACTAAAACTGAGAAAATGTGGTTATGCAGTAATGATGGAAAGAGAGATGTTGTCAAAGAAAAATAAAAATTAAATTTGGATTGAGTTTAAAAATTCATCTTTATTAAATTCATCTCTTCCAATCAATTTATTTATTCTATTAAATTCTTTTATTTTTGCTTCACTCAGTTTAATGATTGAACGATAAGTTTCTAATTTTTCGATTATTTCTTTCCTCTCTTCATCGTTTTCAGTTCCATTAGTTTTATGGGCATCAACCCCATCACATTGCTGCTTCTTTTTGTAATAGCATATTTTTGATTTAATTCTGTTTAGTTTCTTTTTATATTCATCGTCTGGACTCTTGGCTGCTTCGTTGTCACCCATTTCTTACGAAATAAAAAAAATTAAATATTATTTAAATATAATGGAGTAATAAAATAAATCGGAATTTCTATTAATTTATTGTCAACTTCAACTAATGCATTGCCGTTAATATATCTAACAAATTCAGCTATTGTGTCAAATCTTCGTCTTCTTTTTGTCATTGATTTATTAGTTTTTCCATAATCGAGATGAATCAAAACTTTATCCCCTTGTTTAAAATTCATGAGCCCCGAATTAATTTGTTCACATTTAACATCATTCAACCTTTCCATTTGCTTTCTAATATATTTCCATTCTTTTGAAATATCATTTTTCATTTCCACTGGTTTCATGTTTATAGTTCTATGCCATGTATTATTGTAATAATATACTAACTGTTGTATGATGGAGTCATGATTTCCATCCCAGTATATCCGACCGTTAACCCCTAACGCATCTCTAAGAGTTCTCATTACCGCATCAACTATTTTATTATGAAACGTATATGGAGAAGATGAGAAGTAAAAATTAATTTGTGGGAAATAATGAATCATAGTTGCCTGAAATCCTTTATCACTATCACCCCTGATATTATCTACTCTTTCATGATCTAGTAAGTATTGAATAGCTCTTCTTGTTTCCTGTTCTGTTTTCCCTTTCACTGGAATGCAATATAAATATCTAGTGTTAATGTTAATGGCAAATAAATAAGTAACGTTTCCTTTTGAATATTCCAGATGATCGATTTCGTATGAATATGGATATAGTGCAAATGAAGGGCGACTAAATTTTTCCTTTAACGGTTGAATTTTCGGGTCAGTTGGTTTATTTAATATTTTGAAATCCTTTTTAAAATCTTTTTGCTTCTTTAATGTTTGAAATGGATATAATAAAGTGAATGATGAAGGATTAACTGAAGGAGGAGGCGGTTTTGGTATTGCAGGTACTGTCGTTGGAGGTTTTGGTGTTGCAGGTACTGTCGTTGGAGGTTTTGGTGTTGCAAGTGGTTTAATTTTATCTGCTTTGATTTTGGAATTCATTCCTTCCTTCATTAATTCTGGATGTATTCTATTCATTTGTTTTAAATATGCTGTATATAAAGGTTTGATATACTTTCCCGCTTCGAGTTTATGTTGAAGGATGAATTCCAAAAGTTGATCTTCATTTAAAAGTCGGGCTGAATATGGTTTAACTAATGAATCATAAATTAAAGCTTGTGCATCATTTATGGTCTGAAGGACCTGGGCGTTTTGTTCCTTTTGTTTTTGCGGCTCAGGATTATATAATTTATATAATTCATCAATATCTTCTTCTGTTAATACTTTATTTTTGAAATCTTTCAATTGTTTAAGTTGTGATTTAGTTTTTCCCTTTGTATATTCATTATTTTTAATTTTGTCTTTAATTTTAGAAATTATTCTATCATGATATTTCAAAAATTCATTATCATAATATGAATAATAATATTCCATATCATCACCCGTTATATTGTTATCATAGTCTTGGAGATATGCTTTTAAATCACAATAACTAAGAAAATTTTGATTAAATATTAAATCATCAATTAAAATTTTTAAATCTGTGTTATTCATTTATATAAAAATAAAATAAATGTTTAAGGGTGCCCGCCTCTTTGATCAAGAATCAAAACCATCATTAACGGTTCCTTTTGTCTCTTCTGTGGCATTTTATTAAAAATAAAGTTTTAAATTGTATTAAATAAATGGCATACAACATCCATTTTCACAACATACAGCCTTAGTGTGTGCTCCTGTTAATGCAGTCTTACCAATTGTTAAGCGAGTCATTGACCCGTTTTTAAGTTGTAAATTAATATTTTGACCATCGAAAATAACTTTATCATTTATTATATCCAAATATTTTTTAGGTGTTAATTGCTTATTTTGTCTTAAACTAACACCCTTCATTTTTTGTGCAATCTTTTTAAAATCACTTCCATCAATTGAACCGTTGAATGATGTATAACATTTAGGGCATAAAGCAACCATGTTATCACCTTGTTTCTCAATTGCTAAACCCAATAACTTCTTCTCATGTGCTTTTTCTTCAGCTTTATTCTTTAATTTAGGTTTAAATTTCTCATCAAAACAAAAGAAATCAAATGGTGCGAATTTGAAAATGTTTTTATCATAAAATTGTTTATCGGTAACAATTGCTTGAAATGCTTGAGTGTTAGGAAGATTTGGGTCGCCAGCGATTGCCCAATAAGATGAATCAGTATCACCTTCAATGAAATGAAAACGATTAACATCCATGCATTTATACATAAAATCATAAATGAAAACCAAATACCAGTATTTAGCATTATCTAAAGTGAAGAATGCCTCTTGTAAACATGTATCACATCTATAAAATCTATCTTTAAGCATCACTTGATATGTATCTTCACCTATTTCTCTTATGTTTTTAAACTTATTTGACATACATGCAACGCGTGCCTTCTGTGCATTCATTATTTTAGTCTTTGCGTAATTTTGTGTATTCATTGCATCGTAACCATATGATCCATTAAGCGAAATCTTACAAAATAAACTTTTTCCTTTATTTCCTTCTAATTCAGCCTTTTGTCTTTCGTTCATAAATTTGTTCGCAAATTCATTAAAACAAGTGTTTTTAGTAAATGTTAAAATTGATTGAATATCATCGATGATAAAATGAAATCTGTCTATTAGATACCATAGATAATAAGAAGAAAATGGTTGATATTGGTTGTGTGTTGATGCTAACTGAGTTAATTTCCTCTGTTTCTGGTCAACTGGTAAATTGTTTGATTTCATGTAATTATACATAAAACTGCCAATTGTTTTTTCATCTGTGATAATATCTAAGTTTCTTATTATCGGTAAAAAGTTTATGTAATCATTAATGTATTTTTCATCAATGTGACCCTTTACTTCAGCCACGAATAAAGTATTTTTCTTCTTAATTATTCCCAGTGCTTTTGCTTTCTTTGTTGCTGTATCACAAATGATAACACCATTCAATCTTCCCGGCATATACATTTTATGGTCAGTATATTGAATGAAATCATGAGGATTAGATGAAAATGATGAAGGATATAATGAATTAAAATCAACACCAACGAAATGAGTCATAATGTTGGTGGTGTCCTCATTTGATACAGTTTTAGTTTCTGGACTATATGAAAGTTTATTAATGTGTGTGATTCCTTTAAGATTTACTCTATGTTGAACATTTGATAAACCACCAGTAATTCCATTACGGAGAATGTGATAAGCTTCAACTGAATCTAAAGTCATTGGTAAATTATTTTTTAATGCATAATTTCTTAAATTGATTCTTAAACGTTGAACATCTTCATTTTTATTTGATTTTACGACATTGCAATAACAACACATTAACTGACAATTTTCTTTGGTATGTGGTTTTTCATTATCGATTCTATCCAATGTTGGTTTATTTGCATATGTAAACGCTTTACCACACATTTTTGCATTTAGATGAAAGGATTAAATCGTGATAGTATTGAAAATCATCCATTGAAACATTATTTTTAGTATCCCTTTCTGCTTTTTCATCTTGTTTCTTATATGATTCAATTTTATATTTCCAATACTTTTTCGTTAATTCAAAACTTGATTCTATCTCTTCCTCAGGATATTTTTCATTAGGATTAAAGTCTTTATATGCTAAAGCGTAACGAATCATTGAAGCATTCGATGATAAAGAAAGATTATGAAGCATGTCAATTTTATAAACAAATGTTTCTTCGATAATTTTATCAATTGGTTCTATCATAATTTCAACATCTTTATTGCAATAATGAATAAAATATTCTAATCTATTCTTAAAGTTTTTAGCATCATTGAGATATATTTGATAATCACTATCTGATATAGTTTCTTGGGTTAATGCTGAATAAAATGAATCTTTCGTGAATGGTTCCTCTTTATATAATTCTTCTTCGTAATTTTCCCATGTGATAAATTGATAAGGGAAAAAGGATTTAACACGTGTTTTATTATTTCCGAAATCTTGAGTGAATTGGTCTAATGTCCCACCCGCTATATAATTTCTGATGTCAATAAATCTCAATTCATATGGAACGTTTGTTTTCTTTACAATGATTTGCTTAAATTGTGAAGATGAACCCAGCATTGATTTTATTTTCCATTTTGCAGTGTTTAAATCACGAAGAATTAAATTTAAATCAAACTTTCCCGAATTAAAACCTATGATATTCACTTTATTGAATTCCTCATCTAGAAGTTCTTTAAATGCTTCCTTCTGTTTTTCATTTAATGTATGGGACTTCAATAATTCTTCATATTGTTCAATATTTGATTTAGCAACTAATGAACAGGTTGAAAATAAAAACTCAATCCAATCAGAAATAAAAGAATCACTCGAAGTTAAGCAAAAATTCCTCGTATATGTTTTATCATTTAATTTAACCGTTGATGATACCATGAATGGTTTTAAGTAAGCGTTCAAAGTTGCACACTCAGAAAGTTGTAATTCTTCTTTAGTCTCTAATGTTTCAAAGTCAAAAGTAATATAATATCTTGTCGGTTGATAATATTCCTGCAAATTATGAGCTAATAACCACTGATATATCTTCTGTTTCGTAATATGTGGTGCATATGGTTGCTGTGTCTTTTGCAATTGAACGTCTTGAATTAATCTTCCATTATTTTCTTTACATTTCTCACAATGCTTTAAAAATCTTCTTTGGTTTTTCCTTTCTGGATCATCACGGATAGAATAAACTTCTTCTTTACAATATGGACAAACTTTATAGCCGGTGAGTGTTTCAACGTCTGCTATTCTGTCAGCGTGAAGTTTTCCACATGGACTCTGTGTTAATAAAATATTTACTGTTTCAAATTCTGGATCTATCATTATTGATTCCACTAATGGAAAGTCTACCTTATTTATGTCCACGTCTTCTGGTTGAGGATCACAATAATAGAAATCAATATTAACATTTAACATTCTCGCTAATCTCTCACTTTCTGATGAAATATCAAACCCTTCATATGCATCTATTGCTTCATTTAAATAGCTTCTACGAGTTTTAGGATTAGCACCATCAGGAATGTTATAGAAGCGTTTAAATAACCTTCTACCTTCTGCTCTAATTTGATTATCATTCATTTTAGCTGTTCCGTTTTTGTTCATTTATGTAAGAATAAAAAATAAATAAAAATAAACTTTATTTATTAAAGCCCATAAAATGAATTAAGAACACATAAATTTTTATCATCTGCGACGTGACGAATACATTTTAATTTACTCAAGAATGCGTACCCTGATACATTAAATCTAATTCCTGTCTTATTTAATTTCACAACTTTGAAAAGGAATGTATGAATAGCTATAAAATGATGAGAAGATGTTTTATGGGTTGCTTCCATTTTTTCTGAAATAAATGAATAAATATAATGCTTATACGTTTTCATATCTTTTATATTCTTAATAACGAATGGTATAGACCTTTCCACTTCATCTTCCTTCGGTGCTGTTCTTTCATATGAAACATTATTGGTATCTTCAATAATGAAACCACAATCACACAAAATTTTATATGTTCCAATGGTTTCTTTTGATATTTTATCTAATAAATCAAAAACTTTATCAACACCTGTGCATTTATTTAAATAATAATTTGTGTAAATATCATGATCTTCTTTCTTAATCGTATTAGTTGCATATGTCACGTTTTTAAGAGCTTTTTTGAATTTCTCAGAATCGAGAGGGGGTGAAAGTAAGATACAAGGGTATTTTTCATTATCAATAAATTGTAACTTATGTTTACGAATAAATTTAGTACCTTCTTCTGAAAGTGTTTCATCTATTTCACCATCTAATAAATTTTGTGTTGATTCTGAGACATAATTTTTATATCTTTCTTCATGAGATTTCTGAACTGCTGATTCTGAAGCTAGGATATTCATTAAACCCTCTACTTCATTTTCATTATATTTTTCAACTTCTCTTAATTCCTTAATTTTTTCATCTATTTCATCTCTTATTTTTTCCAGTCTTTCAATTTCAATTTCATCATATTCATCATCTTTAATCCGTTCTTCATAATATTCAGGGAAAACATCAGGTTCTTTAGTTTTTCCCTTTTTAGATGTGGGATATAAGAAATTTATAACATCATCTTTATTCATTTTTCCATCATAATCAAACTCATTTAAAAACTCCGCGAATTTTTGACAATTTCTAAAATAATATTTATCAACTTCATAACCCGCCTCCTCTAATATATCCTTTATTTCCTCATTTGTGAATCCCAATTCTTTAACGTCGTTAGTCTTGACGCTCATTTCATTAAAAATAAAAATAAATTATTCAAAAATCTAAGACATGAATGTTTATTTTTTTATTTCATTATGGTAGTGAATCTTTCATTCATGAAAATAATTATTTCTAATTTCTTTTACTCTCTCGTACATACTAGATTTAAAGAATTCAGAACTTTTACCATAATCTCCTAAATGTTTTCTTATCCCTAACGTGTGCCAGTTATTATATGAAACTGTATAAACTTTATCTTTATATTTGCATCTTTCATCACTTCCAATATATTTATATCTCAGTTTTGATTTAGCATTTTCATATTCATTAGCGTTTAATAATTCACAGTCTTCTTTTTTAAATATATGTTTAAGATATTCAGGATTTAATACTCTACGTTTATATGCTCCTAACTTAGTTCTAAAGGTTTTTCTACAAAATTTAGGAATTCCATCCTCTTTAATGTCATCAATGATTTCCATTTCATTATTTTCAATTTCTTCTTCTCGTTTATGAGGTCTTTGATTATGACTCCATTGATTCCATGAAATTAAATATTCTTTATCATTATATTTATACCTCATTAGCTTATTTTGGCTTTCATATTCATTTAATAATTCACAGTCTTCCTTTTTAAATTGAAGTTTAACCCATTCAGGATTTAAACAATGTTTAATTAATCGCGGAATATCTGACATCATCTATATATAGCTTCTTTTATAAAAGATAAAAAAATAAATTATTTTAAAATTAATGTTAATTTTTTAATGATTTATAAATAAATATATTTTAATGCATCGTCTATATATAGATGTAACAAAAAAAGTCACACACCCCTTCCTATCCTACTACTAACAAATATGCTATAAAAGTGACAATTTTAGCAAAACGAAACCCTTAAAAATAATTTTAAATACGCAGTCAAAATATTTGAATAAATATACGTGCCTATCGTATTGTTTTGTGTAACAAATTGAATTTATACAGTCTTTTGAAATTTTATTATAGTTTAAGTTCTGATATTGTCTACAAGCAAACATTACTGTTTTGTTTAGCACATTGAAAATAAGAAAATTTGAATACATCTTATTGAAATTGATTTAAAACTCTGCTCTGATAAACAATGATTGGAATTTAAAATATCCTTTATTGCAAACAAAAAATTACAAAAAATCTGTGACGCTACATTTACGATTTTGAATGTCTGAAATTTCCCATGTTCCAAATCATTATCCTATTAATAATTCACTAAATTATTAAAACAATCTCAATTGAATTGAAAATAACAATTATTTCATTCTGAAAAAATGGATGCAGCAGACATTGAGTTTTTAAACAACAATTCCCTAGAATATTTAGATACAATAGGACAAGGTTCATATGGGGTTATATATAAAGTATACAGCGAATAGTACAAAGCAAAGTTTGCTGTAAAAAGGATTACAAATGATAAATTCAAGGGGAATGAATATGAATCAATGATTGCAATCAAGAACTCTAACATTGTGAACTTGTACAAGTACGTTCACCAAGGTCCTTATGTCTATTTAATGATGGAACTTTGCCGTTCAAATCTTGAAGAGTTCTTAAAAGAAAATAAAGATGTTCCTTCATCGAAACTTCATGATATAGCATTTGGAATGATTAATGCAGTTAATTGTTGCCATGCAAACGGTATCAGTCATGGAGATATCAAACCTTCAAATTTCCTTTTTGATTTCAATGGAAGAATCAAGATATGCGACTTTGGATTGGCACAGAAGTCATTGCATGAGCAAATTTACACAAACCTTTCCGGAACAATGATGTTTTTGGCTCCAGAAGTTATTCAGAGATTACCATTTGATGCGTTTGCAGCTGATATTTAGTCAATAGGTGTATCGTTATATTGCGTATTTGCTAGTACATATCCATGGCAATATGCTTCAAAGTATGAATTGGCATCAAGTATTTTGTTGGGAAAATATGATGAAACTTTAGTCAATGATGTATTTTTCCGCCAAATTATCAAAAATGCCTCAATGTGAATCCAAAAGAACGCCCAACTGCAGAGGAACTTCTTCATTCTTGCAATGAGTACTTAAACCTTGGAAAGAAGAAGAAAATATTCAGACCATTTTCTCTAAGTGCAGGATCTATGAGCTTGATTCTCAAAAGGAATATGATCAGACCAAGAAGATGCTCCTTTAATAATGAGAAGTCAGATTAAGCATATTGATTGTTTGTTCTACTGTAAATTGTTTGTATATGTTATTATATTTGTGGTCTTCTATACAGTCCTGTTTCCTTCCTAAGATTTCGATATCTTCGAATATACTTGATCAGAAAATCTTTATGAGCTCAATTATTGAAATTTCCATTAGAAGTATTAATAAAATCTAAGAATTGAGCAAGCATTCTTTCAAATTTACATCTTTGTAGGAAGAAGGGCATAAAATTTGGAGGTAACAACGTAACTTATTAAAAATGAAGAATTAGAAGAGTTTAATTCTCCTGTGCACTTTTTTTTGGTTTGATGATGAATTGAAACAGGATTCTTCAGATTTCTGCATGATGAATTGATTTTCCCTGATTACATACCCCGCTAATTTTAACATCAAATGTTCATGCGTATAAATAAGAGATGAGTTCGAGAAATCTTGAACTCGTCAAATAAATAGTGGATTCAATTATGATCATTCATGAATTTTGATGACAAAGGTAAATAAAGAAAAGCTGTTAACATTAGACGAGTTGGCAGTTCATATTGAGAAAGAATTTATTACATTATAATGAAATTGTTTATTTTAATCATAATTCAGTATGTATTTTGAATATAAATTTCATATTTTAGATTTTCGCGCCAATTATTTATAGTTGTTTGGTGAAAATTATAATGATTCAGAGCAAATTTATCGAAGATATTTATTTGGCCACATATAAAAGAATAAAAATTATCCATGATTGGTGTTTTTAACAAATAATCTGTATAGTATATAATTGAATAGAATGTAAACAAAATTATATGAGTACTTTCAAAAATTGAAAAATCTAACTTTTCAATCAAAAAATTTATCCTATTTTTCCCAAAATTAAAACATCATTATTAATATTATTATGCCGCCAATTCTCTTAAATTTTTTATGAACCAAATTTTTGTCCAATTTTTTTCAGAGGTAAACTATGATTCGTACTGATGTTGAGCAAGATGATCAGGAGCAGGAGTATGAAGAGGGAACATTCGTTGTAAACAGTGATGATGACTCCGCATTCTTCAACTTAGATTTTGGCGGCTCTTCAACATTTGGAAAACAAAATAATAACAGAAGCGGTACAATGGGCGGATTCGTTCGCAACGATTGGCAAAATCGTGATACAACAATTGCCGCCGCAGCAAAAGCTACAACAGACCCATCAGCAAATTGCAGTCGCCAATGCGATACTTGCATGTTCAGTTTCTTATGTAAATCTTCTTTCAAAGGTCTATCTTCACTCGGTGGCGGCGGCTTTATTCCAAAGCTTGGATAAATTACTGTTGGTTTATTTTTTTTATATGTTAATTTACTTTTAGATTCCTATTATAAATTTTATAAATATAGATATTTTTGTTTAACTTATTGCAATATTTTATAGGTTTTCTTTATTTATTTTCAAGGCCAAGACATTGATCATCATCTCCAGTTTGCTCGGACTTGTTTTTGTTGTTTCAACGATCAATCTGGGCTACTGGATTTTGGCCTTTGTCAAAAAATCAGTTTTTTCCTTTTATATTCATTTCTCTATAAGTTGGTTGATCGGAAATGCAGTAACCAGCGCATTCATATTCATATACACATACTTCTTTACGCTTTCGCATTATCATATTTACATTTTTCTATTAATTCAGTGCATAATTTCATTTATTCTTCGCAAGAAAATATATCGCACATTTTTTGGGCTATCACGTCAACCAATGCAGATTTATAATGAAAGGCTACCAGATTTACACTTCATAATTTTTGTTATTTCTCTATCTATATTATTGACATTCAAGAAAATGCTTCCTTCGACAAGAATCACTGATTTCTCAAACAAACTATTGTTAGTCCCAAACGAAAAGTCTTTTGTGCATTCCATTTGCGAAGGAATAAATTCAAATAGAAAAAAATTACTTTATTTCAGTGAACCAGATGATGAAACAAAATCTCATTACAATTCTGGTGCATCTTTTATGTATAATGCAGTTCTATATAGTTTAGGTATTTCATATGAATCTGCTATGCTTATAATACAATTTTTGAACGCTATATCAACAGTAGTTGCGGCATATACATTCTTTTCATTCGGAAAAACACGGCTAATTGAGTGTTTGTTTTATTTTTTTAATTTTTCAATAATTTTAGCAAAAATTCTATTTGATTCTAAATTTGAGGATAGATTAGAAGCAATAGAAGCAAATGTCGATAGAGTCTCGCTCCCAATTATACCATTTATGTTTCTTTTTTCAAGTGAAATCAGCATCTCGATTCCAATGGCAATTTTTGCCATTACATTTGGTGCATCTTCTGATACTTCCAGAGATGAAATAATTAACATCGCAATTCTCGTTGGAATCTTAATTCCAAATTCTATGATATCAATATGTGTCTTTTTATCGCTAATTTATGCTCCACAACGCAAGAAATTTATAATTCCGGCGATTGTCCCTGTTTTGAGAGCATTAAGATCACCTTTTACTTTTTCTCCAATTTGGAAAAGTTTTTCTATCTTAGAAATGATATTTTGTGTGCCATTTATCAACATTGTTGGATTTCTACTTGTTTTGATTATTCCTGTTGCTTTATATGAAAATATTACTTTAATTAGGCAAAAAGCAATGATGTGTTTTCCTCCATTGATATTTTGTACATTATTTACACAAAATAACTCAAATTATGTACGTATTGCATCAATGCTCTCTGTTGTTTCCCCTCCATTGATTTTTTCAACTCATCATTACTTACAGCAACTTGTAAAAAAGAAAAGTTCAGTTACTCATTTCAGTTTCAACAACAATATTTGTAATTTAAATATTTATCTCTTTGTTTTTGCCGGAATTTTGACAATCTTTGAAATGATCTCAATTTTCAAGGCAACTTAACAGCAGTATTTGCTATCATATCATTAAAAATCTTTGTATCTCTTTATCTTTTCTGTCGACATTTAAATTTTTAATTTTTTTGCAAAGCTGATGAACATAAGGATTAGAATTCTTGCCGTGTTCTATTGACTTCCTTGAAGTATCTTGTTTAATTTATGTGAGAATGTTTGAAATATCAAACACTAGAAAAAGAATGGATGGAATATGCAATTATTTCACACAACATTGATTTTGAGGTCAATTTAGATATGTGTACTGAGTATTGTATTATTTATGCATTTTAAGTTTATTTCGATCAAACTAATGATATGTAACAAATGTTTTGAATATTCACTAATGTTTAATATACGATCCATTTGTGAATTTTTCCTTTTACATAGTGCAAATATCAATGAAAAATGTAACAATGAAGAAACCACTCTTCATATTGTAGCATGTAATAATGGAAAAGAAACAGCCGAGCTTCTTATTTCAAATGATATAAATATCAATGAAAAATGTAACAATGAAGAAACAGCTCTTCATATTGTAGCATGTAATAATGGAAAAGAAACAGCCGAGCTTCTTATTTCAAATGATATAAATATCAATGAAAAATGTAACAATGAAGAAACCACTCTTCATATTGTAGCATGTAATAATGGAAAAGAAACAGCCGAGCTTCTTATTTCAAATGATATAAATATCAATGAAAAATGTAACAATGAAGAAACCACTCTTCATATTGTAGCATGTAATAATGGAAAAGAAACAGCCGAGCTTCTTATTTCAAATGATATAAATATCAATGAAAAATGTAACAATGAAGAAACAGCTCTTCATATTGTAGCATGTAATAATGGAAAAGAAACAGCCGAGCTTCTTATTTCAAATGATATAAATATCAATGAAAAATGTAACAATGAAGAAACCACTCTTCATATTGTAGCATGTAATAATGGAAAAGAAACAGCCGAGCTTCTTATTTCAAATGATATAAATATCAATGAAAAATGTAACAATGAAGAAACAGCTCTTCATATTGTAGCATGTAATAATGGAAAAGAAACAGCCGAGCTTCTTATTTCAAATGATATAAATATCAATGAAAAATGTAACAATGAAGAAACAGCTCTTCATATTGTAGCATGTAATAATGGAAAAGAAACAGCCGAGCTTCTTATTTCAAATGATATAAATATCAATGAAAAATGTAACAATGAAGAAACAGCTCTTCATATTGTAGCATGTAATAATGGAAAAGAAACAGCCGAGCTTCTTATTTCAAATGATATAAATATCAATGAAAAATGTAACAATGAAGAAACAGCTCTTCATATTGTAGCATGTAATAATGGAAAAGAAACAGCCGAGCTTCTTATTTCAAATGATATAAATATCAATGAAAAATGTAACAATGAAGAAACAGCTCTTCATATTGTAGCATGTAATAATGGAAAAGAAACAGCCGAGCTTCTTATTTCAAATGATATAAATATCAATGAAAAATGTAACAATGAAGAAACAGCTCTTCATATTGTAGCATGTAATAATGGAAAAGAAACAGCCGAGCTTCTTATTTCAAATGATATAAATATCAATGAAAAATGTAACAATGAAGAAACAGCTCTTCATATTGTAGCATGTAATAATGGAAAAGAAACAGCCGAGCTTCTTATTTCAAATGATATAAATATCAATGAAAAAGGTATTTTTGGTGAAACCACTCTTCATATTGCAACACATGAAAAAAAAGTAAATAAATAAAATTAAAAATTTTACTTAATCTGATGCTTATTCCTTATTGCGACAATGGAAGGATTGTAAGATTTCCTGAGGTAGTCCTTTGGACAGCCGCCAGGTTTACCATGGAATGGAGTGTCGAGCCTAACGTTATTTTTGAGGAGGAATTCGATGAGTTCAGGTCTTGGGAAAGGAGAAGCGAGGATTGCTTCGAACATTGTTGGACATGTTGGGTGTGATCTTGCATCTGGGTCGTAGTCATTTTCCAAAAGGATTTTGAGGAATTCGATAAGCTTGTCTGTTTTATCTTCGTTGAGAGCTTCTTTAATTGGATATGAACCGTCTACTTCTGTGTAGAATTGTCCTTTCATTTTTTCGCCATATCTTTCGAAAGCGATCTTTCCGACGTATGGATCGCGAAGTTTGCAGATGCTCATGAAACCTTTCGTATCGAAACTGGCTGAAATGTCTTTCTGGATGAGGATTTTGGCAGCAGCAAGATTATTGTGGAAACAAGCGTATTCAAAGGCAGTTCTATTATCACTGTCAACAGCATTGACATTAATGTGCTTGACAAGAATGGAAACAACCTTTTCATCAAGAGCATGGATAACTGCGGTCATTAAAGCTGTCTTTTCATTAGACGCGAGATTTTCGAAGCTCTCGATTTGTTTAAGGAAGAAAATGATGGTATCTGGATCGTTCTGAGGGTTGGAACTAAGTTTCTTACAAATTTCGTGCAATAATGACTTATTTTCTTGGGCTAAGTAGGCAAAGTCAAAACCGTAATCAGAGTAAACCTTGTAAATGTCAAGAATGCCGCGGGAAGCTGCTTTGTAAAGAACTTTTGATGTATATTCTCCCTTATGCTTTTCTTGTTCGAAAAATGAATTGAGCATGCCCTTACGCTTGTAAATATTTAAGATGTAAGAGAAAACTTCTGTTGCGCCGTATTCAGCTGCAGAATGAATTGGCCTAAGTCCCTTTGAGTCTTTAGCATCAAAATCATAGAGCTTTTGTGTAAGATAAACAAAGCACTCGAAGGCGTTGTGAACAGCACATGCAAACTGAAGAGAAGAAGTTTCATTTTTATCGGTAACTCTGTAAGTGACTGTGAGGCCCGATTTAACCTTCAGCTGCATCAATCCTCTATAGTCATCGTTTTCAATGCATTTAAGTATTTGAGCTTCAGTATCTTTACTCATTTTTTAATAAATGAGTGAAAAATTATAACCGCAAAAGGAAAATTATGCCAAATCAGAAAATTTCCTATGAATTTAATGATGAATTTAAAATCATTATACATAGTAATACATATTTCAGATAAAAATCATGGATTTTTTTCCGATTAATTTTTCCATGTAAACTATTCAATAATGTCGTAATTACAAAATTCCATGATGTTAGGGTTTTTAAAATCTGGAATTTCTTGATCTGTATGAGTGTTTGATATCTTCAGAACCTTTGATTAAAACACCAAGCAATTGAAAAATATGAATTTTATTTCTGTTCATCGAATTTAATTGAAGAATCTGAGATATATATCTAAGCTCAAATACTTCTGACAAAGTTTCTACTTTTGATGATATTTATTATAAAAAAAAAAGAAATAAATTAATATTTAGTTAATTTCATACTTTTTTCTCAATTTAACGATGTCTGGGTTAACTATCTTCTTGAGGTAACTACGTGGTGTGTCTCCGGGGTTCACGTGGAATGGGTGATCGATATCTATCTTTTTTTCAAGAAGAAATTCTAGAGTTTTAACCTTATTAGGAAAGTAACTAGTGAGAATACATTCAAAGATTGTTGGACAACGCGCATCTTCCTTAGCGTTTGGATCATATCCATAATCTAAAAGTAAACCGAGTATTCCAATGAGAGTATCTTCATTGCTGATGGAAGTTAGCTCTGTAATAGGAAATGATTTATTGACAAATTCATAGAAATTTGGCTTCATCAATTTAGCATATTTTCGAAATGCAACACGTGCAACATTAGGATCTTGAAGCCTGCAAATATTCCAGAATCCCTTTTGTTCAAAACTTGCTTCTATATCTTTCTCGATGAGAATCTTTGCAGCTTCAACATTTTTATAAAAACAGGCATAATCAAAGGCTGTATTACCTATATCGTCCTTAAGATTGATATCAATGTGGTTTGTCAGCTTTAAAATAATTTCTGCATCAAGCATTTGGATAATTGCCATCATAAGAGCAGTTCTAGAAGAGTTTCCTTCTTTAATATTTCCAGCTAGGTTAAGGAAGAAAATAATGACATTTTGGTCATTAATTGGATTATTACTAAGTGATTTACAGATTTCAGATAATAATTTTTGATAATCATCTTCTCCCAAAAATGAGAAATCAAATCCATAATCTGATAAGATCTTGTAAATGTCGTGAACACCACTATTGGCTGCCAAATACAGAACATTACTTTCTATTTTGTTTTTCAGTTTTAGTTCTTCAAAAAATTTTTTAAGCATGCCTTTACGCTTATATATATTCATGATATAAGAAAAAACCTCTGTTGCACCGTATTCTGCAGCATAATGAATTGGACGCTTTCCTTTATCATCTGTTTCATCAAAATCGAAAAGTTCTTGAGTTAGATATATGAAACAATCGAATGCATTAAAAGCTGCACACATAAATTGAAGAAGGTGGTGCCTTTTACGATTGCAATAATCAAATTCATGTATTGAAGTCAGCTCCATTTCGGATAAACAGTCATAATCATCGTCTAAAATAAACTCAAAGGCTAGGTCAGGATTATATTTCCTTTTCATTCAATATCTGTAAATTAAGCGCAATTATGACAATTGAAATAAAATAGCCATCAATTTTGAAAAAAAAAGTCTGTCTAGACTTTTCAATAGGGTTGTTAGATTCCCGACGATAGGTGTCTTGGAAGATTTGCCTGGTGTCATCATAGTGTCTTTAAATCAATAATTTTATTTTGGAGTTCGTTTTATTGATTTTTCAATAAAAAACATTTCTAAAACAAGAAAATAAAATGATAAAATATTTATATTTTATATAAGGATCTTATATATTTAAAATAAATATCATTTTATTTTTTTCATTGGTGTCTGTCAAACCATAATACACTATTCAAAAATTCAATGTGTCTTGCGGTTTCAAAAGACACCTTCAAATTGAACGATAGCACAGACACTATTGAATTTTACCCATTTTATTTAGTTTTTACCCTTTTTATTTTTAAGAATTAATGACTGAAACAGCCGTTTTGCTATGACTTCAATCACTTTTATTTATTATTTTAAATATTATTTAATTTTATTATTTGAATAGGCCAACTTATATTTGAGAAGCTCAATTTGAGACCACTTAATACATTGAAATATCATAAATATTGAAATATTAAAAAGTGTATTTCAAAATATTGAAATTATAAAAATTTATAATACTGAAATTGAGACAAATTAATAAATTCAATGTGTTTTTTTTTGAAATAACTCTCAAATATTATTTTTTTGTTTATTTAATGATGAATAAATATGATTGCTTTAGTCAATCATAAAAACTAATTTAAGTTTAAAATAATGAAAGGATAATTTGATCGTTTTTTAAAATACAATTATTTTTGATGATTTGCAAGAATCTTTGAAAAGAATATAATATAGGTTCTATTTTTGTAAAATTTATTCAAATCATGTATTACATAAATTACGATTAAAACGATGAAAGAACCAAAAAGTGTGTTTTGTGTTTTGTTGTTGCGTGTTGGATGCGGGATCCTGTTATTTCCGAAATCGACAAAAAATTTGGAAATTTAATTTCCGAAATCGAAATTATATTAATGTTTTTAATATTCTTATATCAAAAGGATTAAAGTTCATTAAGAGAAAAACAATTCTTCTTCTTCAATCTATTGGCGCATTTATTTCTACACGCCAATAAGGAAGGGAAAATTATAAGACACCATGGTGTCTTCAAAACGCTAATTTTTGATATTTTTAACAACCCTACTTTTCAATGCTCGATTTTAAGGTTCCGTTAAAATCGAGCTAATCATTGAAAGCTATGACAGATTTTCATATTTCTTCGGACTTTTCAGAGAATTGAGCTTGCGCTCAATTCTCTGAAAAGTCCGGAAAAATAATTTAAATCTTCAAAACTAGGCAATAAGATCTTTTGTTGTTTCAAAACCATTCAATAGTAAAAATTGATTTAGAGAGACAATATACTAAGAAAAAGTATTTAGAATTAGAACATCTTCAAAATGAAGATTGTAAATCCTAAGGATATTCATTCCTACACGAATATAATTGATTTGCATCAATTTTCGCTTGACAGTGCTCATATGAAAACTTTTTTCGATTTTATTTTCTAAAATAAATCATATAAATTGTCAAAAGCTCATAAAAAAGTGAGGGGTAGTTTCAGGTTGATCCTTTATATTCATACAAACAATAAATTAATAACAAAAAATATCGAGAACAAAGTAACAATATATCAATGGGCAGTTATCATTGATTTCTCAATTTCAGATCGTTTCTGAGTTAAAACATCGTTTAAACGTTTTGCAAGTTGTATTTTTCGCTTTAACATAGCGCGTTCCTCTGTTTTTACCTTCTTGAATTTTTTAGCTTCTTCTTCAAGTGCAATCTCTTGCTGTGTGAGTCGTTCTGATTCTGCTTTTAATTTGATCATTTTTTCAAAGATTGCATTTTGTGCGCTTTTGCTTCTATCTTTTTCCTTTTGTGCTTGAGCTTCAAGTTTACGCTCATTCTCTATCTTAATTAAATGCAATTTTTCTTTTTCATCTGTATCATTAAGAATACTTTTCAGATTTTTCTTTGTATTGTATATTGCATCTTTGAGTTCGTTGTTCTTGGGAATCATTTTGTCGATTTTCTTGGATATTTCTTTGATTTGAGACAAGAGTTGTTCATTTTCTGATTTAAGGTGTATAAGTTGATTTATTTGATCTTGTGGAATGGTAGGCTTAGGTATAGAATTCAATCTTTTGCCTGCTTTAGTTTTTCCTCCAATTTCAAACTCTGGGATAAGAATTTTGTTAATATGAGGTGATTCAGGAATACTAATTGATATAGCCTTCATGCTTATTAGGTTTTCGTTCTCCCTATAATCTTCTTCAAGCCATGAATTGACTAAATCACTTTTCATATTTTTTGAATTTTCAAACGTGCACTCAGATTTTATTTAACCTTAAATTTTCAATAATGATGGGGTATTTCAAACAGCTCTAAGTGATTATCTGTTGAAAACCAGCTTAAATTATCATCATATAAGTATTTAAAAAATCAAAGTAAATATATCTTATTGTTTATTTTTCTCGTTTACTTGAAAAAATAAGAAGAAAATTCGAAAATAAAATCAAACTAGTTCTTTTGATAGAAAACTCTTGTTTTCATATAGAAATGTTCAAAAAGTATATTTTTACCAAAAAATCGGTATTCAATAATTTGAAATTTCAAAATTCAAAAATTGGAGATAAATTAGTATTGAAATTCCGTATTTAAAGCATCACATCTATATACACAAGTATATTCAAATAGAACAAATGAAATGTACGAGATTTGGCAATTCTGAAGTCTTGAATGTATTATTCTTTATCAATTCATATAAAGAATCATCTATAATGATTGTATTATCATATAAAGAATCATCTATAATGATTGTGTTATCATATAAAGAATCATCTATAATGATTGTATTATCATATAAAGAATCATCTATAATGATTATATTATTATATAAAGAATCATCTATAATGATTATATTATTATATAAAGAATCATCTATAATGATTGTGTTATCATATAAAGAATCATCTATAATGATTGTATTATCATATAAAGAATCATCTATAATGATTGTATTATCATATAAAGAATCATCTATAATGATTGTATTATCATATAAAGAATCATCTATAATGATTGTATTATCATATAAAGAATCATCTATAATGATTGTATTATCATATAAAGAATCATCTATAATGATTGTGTTATCATATAAAGAATCATCTATAATGATTGTATTATCATATAAAGAATCATCTATAATGATTGTGTTATCATATAAAGAATCATCTATAATGATTGTATTATCATATAAAGAATCATCTATAATGATTGTGTTATCATATAAAGAAATTATATATTTTATATCCAAACAAATCAGTTTATTAAAACAAATATCTATATTTCTAATTAAAAGTACCAACCATTTCATGGCTTCTTTCCATCAATTTGAGTGCAGCATTAATCATGAAATTCAAACCTTTCTGATTCAATCCCTGTTGAACAAGAACTGCTGCAGAAGGAAGAACAACTGCTCCTGGAGTTTCATAAAGTTTGATATCAGAAAAAGAAAGACAAACAATGATAAAACATAAGAAGAATTCATGGACACTGCGTGAAATAAGAGCAGCACTCCATACATTAAGTAAATCTTCGTACTTAAAGAATGAAACAAAAAGGGAACAAAGAAAAGGTGAAATTTCTAAAAGTCCACTTTTTCTATTCAATATTGCTTCATTGTAATATGGAGAAACCTTGACAAGGAATTGGGTTATCGGCTCAACAATAGGTCCAGAGTTCTTAATAGACATAGGAAGAAGTCTAAGAAGCTCAGATCTCAAAATCAATTTCATCATTACCCAGAAAACAATGGCTTCAAAGGTAAGTTTGGTAACATCGTATTTCTCGCAGATCCGAACATATGAATTCTCTGTATGAGCGTTGGAAGTTTTTAATATTATGCATAAAAGATCAAGAAGTGGAGGAATATGAGAATGAAATGCTCTCTCGATCTCTCCAAGTGACATGAAAACATTGAAAGTGGTCATTTGCATCAAACGAATGTTCTTTTGGTTAAAACTGGAAATAAATTTGTTTGTTTTAACGTAATTAGTAAGATGGTTAATGAAATTGCAATATAAACTAGATCTGAGTAGTTGAGAACGAGTAAATGTGTTCCATTGCGATCGAACTCGGATATATTTGTCTAATATTGGGCCTTGGAACTTATCTGGCTGAGGAATGTGGAGTAATGTAAGCCATGATAGGAAAAGCTCATTGGATTTGATGTTTTTCGTTTGAAGAATTTGAGAAATTTGATTAAAATCTGTAGGATTTATATCGCCTTCATAAAATGGTCGAATTTCTTCATTAGCTTCGACTTTTGGAGTGACTGATTGCTGAAAGAGAGTCATCACGTTTCGAAATTCTTCTTCAGAAATCTGAGGAAGCTGAGTGCTTTGAGATAGCTTCCTAGTTTGCTTAGACATAGGAGCAAATGGAGGTAAGAAGCGAGAAATCTTGTAAAATCCTGGTAAATTCGGTGTATCTGTTGTTAAATATTTTCGAATAAACTGTCTAATATCATTTCCAGTCTCGGATGAATCGAAAGTCAAGGATATACCAAATTCTTGTACTGGATCGTGAAAACATATGCGTGATGGGTTTTCAATAAATGAATATTCGCAATAATACAATAAATCAATAACAAACTGATTATCAACTTGTCTCAAAGGATTTTCTAAAACATCTGAAGCATATAAAGGTGGATTATCAAGGATGGTTAGATTAGTAGGATCTGAAATCAAAATAAAAACAGCTGCTGTATCAGTATATCTAAAATATAGTGTTCCAGTATACGTTTCGTTCTTCGAAGTTAGAAGAACTGTGTTTGGCCACGATTTAGAATGGGCTTCTTTCTGAAACATTTTTTTGATAAAGATTGACAAAAATGGCAATTCGGTGTCAAATAGTACTGATGAGAATGCAATACCTTATTATCTGTCAATAGAATTGCAAAATTATCGAATAAAAGCTTCGATATTTCGTAAAATCTTGAGTTTTTCAAATTATCATGTCTATTATAGAAAGAATGTATCAGATTCAGTGCAATCCTTTTGATGCCCATCAAATGCTCATAATTGTATGAGCTTCTTAATTTTGAGCATTTAATCTTTCATGACAACAATGTTTGATGATGCTCCATACAAACATGCCGAATAACTTGAGAACTTATGTTTAATTGAAAAACTTAGTTCCAACTGAATTATCACAAAATTCAACGTTTTCGTTTTCATTTCATTTTTCGTAGAGTCAGCAGCACTACCATGACTTGCAACAGATATAAAGAACTCGAGATCATAGGAAAAGACATAATCGACGCCACCACGAAACTGTACAATATTAAAACTTTTGATGAAGATGAAATTAACAACATTTATCAAGAGATCAAAAGCAAATTGATTGAAACAAAGATACTCTCACCAGATAGGATACTTCTTGCAATTCGAACAGCCGGAATATGCAGAAATAAGTATCTTAGTTCTTATTTGGCACTATTCAAAAAAGTGACTGAAGAATATCATCCGGAACAAATGAAAAGCCAATCCAAAGCATACATGTTCACTGTCTATAAAGATTATGATATTTTAGCATTTGTATCGACACCAGAGAAGCTTGAAAACGAGGATACAAAAAATTATGGCTTAGATGTTCATGAAAATAATACAATATACAAAGCAATCAAGGATGATGACATAGTCTCATTTATTGGATTTACAGAGAGAGATGGATTTGATGAAAATCAAAGACTTATAAGTTTACTCTATCCTGTTTCAAAGGATGGATATTCATTACTGGAATTATGCTGTTATCATGGTTCTGTTAAATGTTTCAAGTTATTGAGAACTAAATTCAAATCAGCAATCACACAAACATGCCTCCAATTTTCATTTTTAGGTGGAAATCCAGACATCATGAGCGAATGCCTTAAAGAAGTTCAACCAGACAACTACAAATGTATGGAATATGCAATCATTTCACACAACATTGATTTCGTTACTTTTTTGATGAATACATATAACATGAAAGTTTATGCAAAAGCATGCGCGATAAATAATAATCTTCAAGCTTTCTTCGTATTCTTAGATCAAACTACAGATATCAACACTTGCTTTATTAATTCTGCATCATTCAATATTCCATCAATTTGTGAATATTTCCTTTCACTTGGTGCAGATATCAATACAAAGACACATGATGATTTAGATTTCCCTGCTCTTCATATGGCCCTTGAATTCGATAATTTTGAAACAGCTGAATTCCTTATTTCGCACGGTATTGATATCAACGCAAAAGCGACAAGAGGAATTAATGCCCTTCAATTTTCAGCCTCCTTCTCGAGCAAAGAAGTTGTCGAATTTCTCGTTTTGCATGGCATTGATACCAAAGAAAAGACATTAGAAGGAAATGATGCAATTCATTATGCCGCAATTGGAAATAATATTAAGGATGTATGGATTTCCCCAATCCACTAGGGCTGCTTGCTGTTTGGGATTCCCACTGTCCCAAATTGAAATTTTTCAATGAGTTTCAAGAAAAAAATAAAAAAATGGGTGAAGGCAAAAAGAATTTAAAAAAGGTTATCTATAAAAGTATAATATTATGTGCAAATAAAGTAATTTTAGATATAATATCGCTTATATTAAAAATATATGAATTTGAATAAATTAGAAATTTGAAATTTTGCCTAAAAAAGTTAAATTCTATACTTGCAGTATGAATGTGTTGTAATGGTAGTAAGAATGGGCTAGCTCAAAGCAACTGCTCAAAACTTTCCCGCCAAAAGCGCAAAAGTGTCGTTTCTGCATGGAAGACCATAGCTGGAGTCACGCTCAACCATCCCCTTGCTGGTATGATGTACAGCCTTTGTTCTGACCAATCATAGTGCTGCTTCATCCATACCAGCAAGTGGTTTCAGCATCAGACCTCCGCTTGGTCTTCCATAAGAGCCCTGCAAATCCGAAGCACAGTAATTATGCAGCCTAGTTGCTAGGGTATAGTAGCTAGGCCGCATAATTATTGTGCTTTTAGCGATATTAGTTATACGTTATTGCACGCATTCACTTATACTACCACTCTCTCGCTCCTAAAAAGTCAGATACTTCGTAATTACTAGAATAGGGCCAAGTTCTTCCGAGGCCTCTCATTGCATGAGAGACTTCGGAAGAGCTTGGCCCTAAAGCATCTCACTACGGCTCCCTGGTCTACAAAAGGCTAAAGAAACTACAATTTGAGTAGAGTCCTTCCGAAGTCTCCCATTTAATGAGAGGTCTCGGAGGAATTCTACTCCAAGGTAATGCGCTTGTAGTTTCTGACTCTCTATTGAACGAAAAATGTAAATTTACACGAAAAGAGCAAAAGTTCTTCCGAGGCCTCTCATTGAATGAGAGACTTCGGAAGAACTTTGTTCTAGTGTAATGCGTGTATATTCTTGGGTCCAGGGAGAGCGAGAGAACTGGTTTGTAATTCGTTTTTGCTGAAGTTCTCCGGATTTCTCTCAATTGAGGAAGGAAATCCGGAAAACTTCAGCATGAGTTAATTGTGGTGTAACTCTCTGGGTATTTACCGGCCAGAGAGCGAGTAAAATATTAGAGAGCGCATAGTCTCAGCATAGGTATGCGCACTATAAATATACGTTATTTTTTACTTTCGTATGAAGAAATAGCTTCTCATTTTTATGCTTCTATATACTTTGTTACTAAGTAAATCGCCTATTTTCTTATTAAAGCCTAATTTTTCCACGTGATTAAGAATCTCTGCATCACAAAAATTCGTTTTCTGCTTTCAGAACGCGAAAATATGCAGTATATCTCAAGATAAAGGGAAATCTTTCTCTTATATTTTCCAAAAAAATTGGGTTTTTCTAATTTTTGTTATCAAAATTGTTGTTTTTCTTATCAAATTTGAAAAATCAAGATTTTTTGGAGATTTTCAGCAAAACAAAACACGGTAGATAGATGTTATTTTATGATATCTATCTGATAATGATCTCTTTTTTGATTTTTAGTAGAAATTCAAAAATTGTTTAACAAAATAATGGTGATATCCTCTTTATCTTGAGATATACTGCATATTTTCGCGTTCTGAAAGGAGTGCGGGACAAATTTGCCAGGTGTCACTTTTTCCATAACCTTAAATTACGCTTTTCTAATTTTTTAAAAAATAACCTTAAATTATATTTGAAGAAATTATGTCTATGATATATGTTTTATGCTAGAATCTTGGAGTTTTCATGCACTACACAAGAGCTCCAAGGTTCCAAGAGTGAATGCTCAATAGCAATTATAGAGATGTACCTTTTCAAAATGACTTTTACTGATTAAATTTAATCAATAGAAGACATTTTGAAAAGGTACCTCTACAATTAGATATACAAGAGATTCAAAGCTTCATTTCAGATAGATTTGAAACTTTGAAACTCTTGGTAGATTTTGAGTGAATGCTGACAATCATCTTTGAGAAGGTTTTCTTTAAGAAAACCTTCTCAAAGAGGTTTCTCAGGAGCCCTGAGGCTCCCTTTCGTAATGATTGGGAGCCTTGGGGCTCCTGAGACGAAGAATAGCTTCGCCGAATCTTTGATCAGCAGAGGCCAAATGAAAAGGCCTCTGCTGATGGATTCTCAGGAGCCCTGAGGCTCCCTTTCGTAATGATTGGGAGCCTTGGGCTCCTGAGACGAAGAATGGCTTCGCCGAATCTTTGATCAGCAGAGGCCAAATGAAAAGGCCTCTGCTGATGGATTCTCAGGAGCCCTGAGGCTCCCTTTCGTAATGATTGGGAGCCTTGGGGCTCCTGAGACGAAGAATGGCTTCGCCGAATCTTTGATCAGCAGAGGCCAAATGAAAAGGCCTCTGCTGATGGATTCTCAGGAGCCCTGAGGCTCCCTTTCGTAATGATTGGGAGCCTTGGGGCTCCTGAGACGAAGAATGGCTTCGCCGAATCTTTGATCAGCAGAGGCCAAATGAAAAGGCCTCTGCTGATGGATTCTCAGGAGCCCTGAGGCTCCCTTTCGTAATGATTGGGAGCCTTGGGGCTCCTGCAGCAGAGTATCGCTCCGCTCCATTAAATTTTTTAAAAAAAGTGCCGTGTGGCAAATTTGTCCTGTTCCCCATCTTTATTATTTTTTTTATTCCTTTGAAAAGTGACACTGGATAGTTTGTCCCTTTCTCTTCTGAAAGCAGAAAACGAATTTTTGTGATGCAGAGATTCTTAATCACGTGGAAAAATTAGGCTTTAATAAGAAAATAGGCGATTTACTTAGTAACAAAGTATATAGAAGCATAAAAATGAGAAGCTATTTCTTCATACGAAAGTAAAAAATAACGTATATTTATAGTGCGCATACCTATGCTGAGACTATGCGCTCTCTAATATTTTACTCGCTCTCTGGCCGGTAAATACCCAGAGAGTTACACCACAATTAACTCATGCTGAAGTTTTCCGGATTTCCTTCCTCAATTGAGAGAAATCCGGAGAACTTCAGCAAAAACGAATTACAAACCAGTTCTCTCGCTCTCCCTGGACCCAAGAATATACACGCATTACACTAGAACAAAGTTCTTCCGAAGTCTCTCATTCAATGAGAGGCCTCGGAAGAACTTTTGCTCTTTTCGTGTAAATTTACATTTTTCGTTCAATAGAGAGTCAGAAACTACAAGCGCATTACCTTGGAGTAGAATTCCTCCGAGCCTCTCATTGAATGGGAGACTTCGGAAGGACTCTACTCAAATTGTAGTTTCTTTAGCCTTTTGTAGACCAGGGAGCCGTAGTGAGATGCTTTAGGGCCAAGCTCTTCCGAAGTCTCTCATGCAATGAGAGGCCTCGGAAGAACTTGGCCCTATTCTAGTAATTACGAAGTATCTGACTTTTTAGGAGCGAGAGAGTGGTAGTATAAGTGAATGCGTGCAATAACGTATAACTAATATCGCTAAAGCACAATAATTATGCGGCCTAGCTACTATACCCTAGCAACTAGGCTGCATAATTACTGTGCTTGATTTGCAGGGCTCTTATGGAAGACCAAGCGGAGGTCTGATGCTGAAACCACTTGCTGGTATGGATGAAGCAGCACTATGATTGGTCAGAACAAAGGCTGTACATCATACCAGCAAGGGGATGGTTGAGCGTGACTCCAGCTATGGTCTTCCATGCAGAAACGACACTTTTGCGCTTTTGGCGGGAAAGTTTTGAGCAGTTGCTTTGAGCTAGCCCATTCTTACTACCATTACAACACATTCATACTGCAAGTATAGAATTTAACTTTTTTAGGCAAAATTTCAAATTTCTAATTTATTCAAATTCATATATTATAATAACAAGACTTTTTTTCTTCATCATTCATGTATAATATATATGACACTATTAGATATATATTTAGAATAGTATTATTATAAAATTTTTAAAATTTGTTTGAAATGAGCATAAACCATGAAAAAAATCATATGTTATCTATTGATCTTAATCAGAGCAAATCAACTTCTATCTTAAAATCTGCAATTTCTTGCTACTTTTTTTTCATTTCTTTTATTTTGTTTCCAAATAGCCTCTCAATTGGATTAAAATATACTACTATTGAAATATATTTATAATATTCATCAATATTTCATTCGACGATTATTGGGGATTGGGATTGATCCCAGCCCACCTCTCAATTCCATTCAAAATTTGAATATGGGCTGGGCTGGGATTATCCCTAATAATCGTTATCGTTTATCTTCAAATGGCAATAATAGCTAAAAGATATAAATAGATATACTATGTGTTAAAATTAATATACCTCTCCCAAGCAATAAAAAAAAAAAAAACTTGGGCTAAAAATGTCACTTTTGGGCCGCCCAGGTCTAAAATTTTTTTTCGTTTTACATCCTTAATAATATAGAAACTCTCAAGTATCTTTTATCGAAAGGTTTTGATCTTAATGCACGAAATAATGAGGGAATTACACCTCTTCACTTCGCAGCGCAGCGTTGTAACATTGAAATGGCAGAATACCTTCTTTCAGTTGGTGTAGATGTTAGTATCAAAGATCATTTCGATTCAACTCCACTACATTTTGCAGCATATAAGAATAATACCAAAATGGTTGAATTTCTTATATCGCATGGGGCAAACATTAAAGCAGTCGATAATCATAAAAGAACTCCTCTCCATTCTGCAGGGGAAACGCTGAGCATAGAATCTGCAGAAATTCTGCTTTCGCACGGGTTAGATATAAATGCGCAAGATGATGTCGGATATACAATTCTTAATTACTCGACAGAGAGTAACAGCGAAAAATTGGCAGAATTTGCTATTAAACATGGTGCAGATATTAATATCAGATCTAAACAAGGAACAACGCCTCTTATGGATGCTGCAAATAGAAATTGTTTTCAGATTGCTCAGATTCTAATTGCATGTGGTGCCGATATTAATGCTAAAGATAAAGAAGGAGCTACAGCTCTTCATTATGCAACACTTAAACGCAGATATGCTATTAAAAATCTACTTATTCAGAATGGTGCAGATGTCAACGCAAAGGATTGCCGAAACAATAAACCTTCTGACTTTGAAAAAATGCCAAATGATTTTAAACCAGATTTTAATGGTTTTCAGAGATGCAGAATTTAGAATCCTCATTTTTGATTTGATTCTCGAATAAAATATTCGTTTGATATTTTCGATTTTATTTAATTGGTTCATTGAAAAAGAAATAACCGAATTCATGATTTCGATGCAGGAGATACTCTACTTATTATTGCTGTCACTAAAATTTGTAGGAAATCAGCAAAAATTTTATTTACGCATAGCACAAACATTAATGAAACAAGTAAATATAAAATGAACCCTCTTCAATGAGTTTTACATCAATTCTTCTCTTTTCCTGGATTTACCTTAGAATCTTTTGTGACACACACTGAAATGACAAGAATTTTAAAATACAATTTCATTCAATATTACCGCAGTTTCCTTCCAAACAATCTTAATTTTTCTTGAAAACTTCACTTCAACAAAATAATAATATTATTATAGTCGCACGCTTTCCTCACCGATTCACGACTACATTTCGGACTAATTTTCCTTTATATTTCTTAGGATAGATAATATTTTATTAAATTTGTTAAATATATAGTGATATAATAAAAGACATGTATAATTTAAGAAAACAAACATAATATTTAGAAGAATTGTAAGTGAAGCCGGTAAATTTTTTCTCATTCTTGAGCTTTTGAAGAGATAGGGAAGGTTTGTTCAAGAGAGTATGGATCATATTCATCGAATGGATTATAATTTGGATCCATACTGAAATTACCAAAGTCATTATTTGGATCATAAGGATCTTCTGGTGGTTCTTGTTGTGGTTGAGGAGGTAATTGCTCGTAGAATTGTTGTGTAGGCATATGCATAACGTTATTTGCATTTGGTATTTGAGGTGCTGGAGAATTAAATTGTGGAATAAGTTTAAATTGAGTTGATGGATTAGATGGTTGCGGAGTAGCTGCAATATATTGGCGAACACTCCATTCACGGGCTTCTGGATAATTCTGTGCTAAAAGAGGTATTGACTCACTTAATAATTTTATTGATTCTTGGCGAGATTGGATGGTTCCATATCCCATTCTTTGGAGTGATCCATTTATGGATGACTTGCATTTATCGATTAAAATCTGGAATTGTCTATTATTTATTGCAATTCCTGCAGGAAGCCAGCAAACACCGCATACAAGGCATCGTTTCCAATCATCGCCATCTCCTTTGATACAAAAGTTCTTTATTGCTGTTAAAATCTCAGCAAACGTTTCAACACGCTTTCCTCGCCGATTCCTGACTACATTTGATGATAACATCGATCTTAGATTGTTGTACTCCTTTCTATCAGCTTCTGACAGCATCTCTATATATTTTGGCTGAGCAGATATTTCGCTCATTATCGGGTTTTATGTAACGTTTTCAATTTTTCAAAATTTTACCAGTATGTTGGAAAAAAAGGCCCTTCAATCAAAAACAAGACTTCTTTTCTTTGTAAGTGAATGCTTCCTCATACGTGAAGATAAAAAAGAAGGTATTCACCAAGAAAGCGGAATTCATCAAATTTGAATTGTGGATATAAGCCATAAAAATGTGAAAAATGTATATTAATGGTCATGTGTTTCGTATAATTTCTAGTTTTAAGTCTAGTTCTCTTGTATTCAAATCCTTCCATAAATTTATTCCAGCAGAGTTTTACTATGGGCGTTATAATATCTTCTTTTTATCGGTAATGTTCTAAATTTGCTAAATCAAAGAAGAGAAAGGGACAGACTAGCCCATTGTCACTTTTTAATTTAGCAAATGAACGCTTATGGAGTGGAGTTTTTGGGTAAATCTGATTTGCTTATAAATGAAATAAAATCAAAAGAAACCATATTGGCATTATATTATGCAAAAATAAATGATCTTACTTAGTACTTTTAAAGTTAATTTCAGAAAAAATTTGACACAATGGTATCCGGCACATACAAGTGGTGTACAACCAAAATATAAGTTAGTTTAAACATATATTGCTATATCTCATGATCTTACTTAGTACTTTTAAAGTTAATTTCAGAAAAAATTTGACACAATGGTATCCGGCACATACAAGTGGTGTACAACCAAAATATAAGTTAGTTTAAACATATATTGCTATATCTCATGATCTTACTTAGTACTTTTAAAGTTAATTTCAGAAAAAATTTGACACAATGGTATCCGGCACATACAAGTGGTGTACAACCAAATCTTCGACTCGATGAACTTGTCATCGAGTTATATTCCAGTGTTGTTCCTTCATTCCTGATTAAGTTGCAAATTAAAGGTCTGGATTCAGAGAGAAGTGTTAAAGTTATCAAAAAAGTCACAAGAGATTTCGAAGAAATGACACAATTTAAAAAAGTCGAATGCATCAGTATGCTTGAAGCTGTTCAGAAAGGTCTGAAAAATGATACACTTGATCCCAACATTGTTTACTCAACATTAAAAATATTATTGCAAAGAAAACATTTGATTTAATAAACATTTAGTTTATTATAATTAATTTTTTATTACAGTATAGTAAAAAATGCTATAAATAAATTATTATATTTTATTAAAATGTGACTTTTAATAGTAAGTGAATAAAATAAATCAGGAATTGGGAAAGAAATAAGGTTAATTAAAAATAATGAAAATTACAAGTTTAAGGTTAATGAAAAAGTGACAATGGGCGAGTTTGTCCCCCACTCCACTCAATCAAAGAATAGATTTTCGAATTTTTTCTAAAATGCTCAATGATTAAAAGGTTTCATATAAAAATCTCTACTCCCGAGTGACTATAGAATCTAATGTCATAAAAACTCTCACAACCATGAGAATAATTTTTACTGGAAACGTGACAATTATGTCTGGTCGAAAAAATTTTTCATCAAAAATTTTTACTAATATTCTTGAATTGGCATATGATCAATATATAAAAGACTCAGATTCTGAAATCGATCTCAATTTTTGATTTGAGAAATCATCGAAACTTCCTTCAAAAAAAAAAAAAAAAAAAAAAAGGTAGTGGGGCCTCCAGGCACTTCGTGCCCTCTAGCCCTGAAGATGTTTAGTATAACTTTGTCCGGACAAGTAAGGGTCTATCGTCGCTACAGGAAAAGTTACGGGCGTTCCAAGGAAGTATACTTTGAGAAGCCTTTTTCCCCTTATAGAATGAGATAGGACGGTTATTTTACAAAACTGACAACATTTTGACCGAGTAGTTTTTTGTGCTGAACAAAAAGTGTCATATAAACATCTGTCAAAAACCGCTTTTTAACTTCACTTAAAATGCCACGTAAGCTACGTAAGAATATACGTAAGAGGAAGAGAGCATTGAAACATCCAATAGTAAAACTGACACCACAACAACAGTTGCAACAACAAATGATGAATGACCCCACTATGTTGCAACAAATGTCAAGCAACCCTATGCTTTTAAACCGAGTTATTGGTGCACAGAGTGGAGGTTTAAGAGCGGCACTTTTAGCGAAAATGGCAGGCTATGGTGGAGCTGCAGACGGAACAGCTTATAACCCTCAAAGTCAAATGAATTTGAGTTCACTCAAAAATCAAATATCAGATGTCAAAAAGTCAAACATAGACATACAGAAACAAATAAGTGAAAACGAAAAGAAACTAGAATATGACAGACACACAAAGAAACTCAATGAGTTAAACGTAGAGAAAAAGAAGAAAGAAGAACAACTGAAAGAACTAAGTACAGAGGAATATGCAAAAAAAGTGTCAGAAAAAGCAGCAGAAGTAGCAAAAATGGAACAAGATGTTATAAATTTGAAAAACCATACTACTCAATATAAAGTACTGAAAGATGAAGAAATAAAACAAAAAGCCCTGAAGACATATATGGATAGCGATGAGTATAAAAAAGAAGTTGAAGCAAATGTAAAGGCAGAAAAACTTTTACAGTTGCAAAACCAAACCGTACAGTATGAAAACTTAGCACAAGAAAGTAAAAATAACGACGCAGCCATGCAAAAGGCAATGAAAAGCGCAGAATATATAAAAGCTAACAATGACTGGTTAGATGCCCAAGCCAACGCTAAAGCAGCCCAACTTATAGGGTCAATAAGGACAAAAATACAAGCGGATGAAGACAGTTCAAATGAAGCTTTAATGAATGCTGACTTTAAGAACGCCTTCGAAGCTCTTCATAGTAAGGTGAAACAAGTGAACGATTTCTCATCTGGAAAGAAACTGAAGTCTGAAGGTTTCGACAAAGAGTTAAGAGAAGTAGCACAAAATATGACTAAAATAACAGATGCAGCAACGAGACAGGCAGTTCAAAGTGCCTATGACGCCGTTAGAGCAACTGTTGTGGAAAGTCAAGAAAAAGAGTTACAACAGACCAAAACAGACCTAGTAAATGCTTTCTTAAAAACGAAAAGTCAGGTAGGACATTATGCTGCAGATGGAACATATGTGCCAGCTGGTGGAACTTATATACCAGCTGGTGGAACTTATATACTAGCTAGTGGAACCTATATACCACCAAACCCTCCAAGAGAAGCACCTGCACCAGGACTACCTAAAACATTTACATCGTCACATGGACACAGACACAGGCATGCACCAAAACCAGCACAACAACCAGCACAGCAACCAACAGTTCAAAACCCTGCACAACAACCACCTCCACAACCAGCACAGCAACCAACAGTTCAAAATCCTGCACAACAACAACCACAAACAGAGCAAGGACATAAAAGAAGTAGAGAACAAGGAAACCAAGAATTCTTAAAAATGCTAAAGGAAGATTATGGTTACCCAGATACTCTTGACTTTAGTGACAGATATAAAGAAGCTATTAGAAAGTTCAAGGAAGGAAATACTGACCCGAACCTATTTAGCTTTATGGCTCAGCACCAAATGGGATATAATTTCAAACCTGGAAAATACAAGCTCGCTAAGGGATATGATTTAATAGCATATCATCCAAATGACATGACTGAATTTACTCCGAGATATTTGGTGTCAGAGCTAAATGACAATTCAACTCTCTTCATGAAACGCGTAAAAATAGAGACGGAACGAAAGAAGAAAGGTTTATGAGTCCGGATGACTTAGATAGGGAACTTGTTAAAAACGGTCTCGGAATATATGAAATGCCAGCAGATGAGGTACAAGAAACTCCACAGGAAGAAGTTCAGATACAACCAGACATGGAAGAAATAGTTCAGCAACAACAGCTAGAAGAGCCTGAAGGAAACGAACAAGTCCCTCCTTTGGAAACTAACTTCACAGAACTAGATGAAGATTTGGAACAGCCGAAAAATCTTGACCCTCAACAAGAGTATGAGGTGAATATGGAATCTTTCCAAGAGTCTAAGAAAAATTCGGCTGACATAGTAGAAGGATATCGAAAAATGTTTGCCGACATACAAAAGACTCCAACACCAGATGAAAATATTCAGCATAGAATGGAAGTACTGAAAGAAAATGTACGCAAATACAATAACCCTTTTTACTTACGACCATATAACGTTCAATCTTTGGCTGAACTCGGTGAAAATAAAAGGTTAAATTTCAACAAAACATATAGAAATGAAACATTGTTTAAAGATCATTCAGAACCTAACCAATATGGAAACAAACCTACTTTTGTTTCTGCAGACTATGGAACTACAATGAGATGGGGTCATAAAGCTAACCCGGATAGGTGGTTCATAAACTTACAACCACAATTCCAAGAAGTTGTAGACGCAATGGAAGTGAATGGTGAACCAGATTTAGCTGGTATTTTCAGCGCGGCTTTAATGCCATTGAAAGATATGAAAGATGCAGATATTTTGGACCTGTATGAAATGAACATGGCTGATGGAAATATAACACCTGACGTTCTAGAACATTTATCTCAAAGAACTACACAGAACCATAAAGATGGTATATTTGGTGAAGAGTTTAGAAAGAAAGTTAGGGAGACAGAAGGAAGAGAACCTATTGTACATGACCTTGCAAACGAAAGTTTGCAAAATGTCATAAAAACTTACTTTGCAGACAATGAACTGAGAAGGGATGAATATTTAAGAAAACTCAAATGGACAGTACCAAATGAAATGTTAGTATTGAAAAACATGTTCCTTGACAAAATAAAACCAACTACAGAAATAAATGACGCAAGACTGAAACGTTGGGTAAAAGCTTTCCCATTCACAAAAGATATTATTGGTAACATGGAAAGAAAACCAGAATGGCTACAAAAACATATATTTGGAAACGAGCTTATTCCATATGGACAAGCTCTGTTTGAAGAGCTTGAACCGGAAACTCAGGAAAGAGTCATGCAAACAATAAGCGAAGACTCAAATACAAACTATGACAAAATCTTTCTAGGATATAGGTTACCTGAGATGGGCGACCAGAGCCCAAAGGCAAAAAGGACATGGGAAATTTGCAACATACTAGGTGAACATGAGGCAAAGATGCAACAACTTGAAGCAGAGGGCAAGTTACCAAAAGCGACACCAAAGAAGAAGAGAAGAGTAGAACAAAGTGAAAGTAGTGAAGAAGTAACTTCATCTAGTGAAAGTAGTGGCAATGAAGGAAAAAGAAGAGTTAAAAACTCAGTCAGGAAGAAAGTAAAGCTTGGTCCACGTGGGTTTTATTATGACTCATAAATCCAACTATTCTATATTTTTACCCATATGAAATGTACGCCGCTCAGAATATAACGCCAACAGTTTTGGATGCCATGAACGGAAACGTTTCCGAATGGTATAACGAATGCGACAATGCCATTAGAAGGTCAGAAATAGTTCCTGGAACTTACGAATATACAACTGCTGTTTCTTATGGAAACGTAGGTGAGTTTGGAGAAGGTTCTTCAACAACAGTAGATATTGCTTGCGACAGGTTTCATTATTTCTATTGACAACTCATTCTTATACGTGGAACAAGACATTGAAATAAAACCTTCTGCCAAGTTGTCTGACAAGAAAGGTTGCAATGGTATTTTCTATGTCGGATACCAATATGCTCCAGAAGTTTTCATGGGATATAAGATATATTCTAACTCTGACTTAGTTCAAACAGTAACATGGGCAAACTATGAATGGTTCGCTTTGAGAAACTCAGTACAACCACAAGCTAGAGAACAAACAGACCATATGCAACTATTGAGAAAATAAGAAGACTTGACCCTAACGTTCCAGGAGTTTATGTTAACCTTTCTGGACAAACTGCAGCAGCAGTAACTAAAGTAAAACTGAAACTTAGAGTTCCTTTGTCATCTTTCCTCATCTTCAGGTTTTTAAGATACTTGCCAAACTGGGCAGGAAAAATTTCTATTGAACTTACTCCAAGCAAAAATAACTTAGTCATTGCACCAACACAAGACCCATTCACTATTACAGACGTAGAGGGAACAAATAAAACGTCATTCGCCGACTTTTGCAAAGACAAAGTTGACTTAGACTTTGGTTTCTCAAACCTCAACACTGAAGTAAACTATTATTTCAATGCTGCTGGAACTGCTTGGGACCCAGTTAAGTTCACATGCGAACAGTTTGAATGCAAGAGAATAGAAAGCAGACTTGCAGTCTATATGTTGGACCCAGATATTTCAAATGCTTTAGCTGCCAAATATATTGCAGTTCCACTTATGTTCCCTATACACCAAATATCTGTCAAAGACTTTGCAGGTGAAGTTGGAAACCAAAGTGCTGACCCAGGTGCAAGAACAGATATTGCTTTAACAACTGCAATGAAACATGCAGATACTATGTTTGTACTGTTCAGACGAACTATAAATGACTATTCTTGTTTCTACAACCCCGGTATTAAATATCATATAAACATAGATGGCAAATATTATCCAAGAGAAGAATATTCTACAGTTGAGGATATGAGGTCATACAACTTGACATTAGATGCTATGAACTTTAACAACAACTTCACAACAACCATTAACCCTGAAATGCAAAGTTCTATTATGCCATATGTGAAAGTATGGACCCATACAGGAGGTCAAAAAACTCAATATACAAATGGAGACCGTTCAAACTTTTGGCTTGGCATTCCATTTGCTGACTCAGAAGACTTTATGGGTGGTATTTCAACTGTTGGTACAGTTCAAATACAATATACTGGTGACAGAGACGGTCCAGATGAATTGAAAGCAAAGAAGTTTACAAAACCAATAGCACTTTTCACGGAAGATGCTCTTTTGAAGATTCGTTCGATGAAACCTGCTGGGGCTCCTCAGATTGGCATAACGACAGCTTCCATCGAGCAGATTTTGGCAGCAGGTCAGTAAGTTGTTCTTGAACTGACTTCTCTCCGTCAAATATTGACAGTACGCCAGTTTTGACATAATATTGTATTATAAACTTACCTTTAGAAATATCTGTAAGTTTTGAAGTTATATTTTTGTCTGCTTCAAGAACTTTCACCATTTCAGTTATACCAACTTTCTTTGCTTTATGAAAATATTTTGGTTCAGCAAAGACTGCTATTCTATAACATTTTCCATTGTTTGTATAAAGAACTATTCTGTCAATGTATTTGTATTGTTTGTGTGTGTAAACTTTGTTTTGCTTCAATTCGAAGAGATACTCAAATACGTCCATCTTTTTATTCTAAGTAAAATGTCATTTCCGAAAAATAGAAGCGTAAGTGTTTCAAAAGGTTTAATGGCGGTGGCAGATGTGAAGTTAAATTCACCAACTCAAACAAACAGTCAAAGTGTTGTTGTCAATGTCAAAGACAGAGATGTTGAAGTGGGGAAACCATACGAAGACCAAGATGGTATAACAATAGTTCCTGTAAAAGAACAACCAACATACCCTGAAGTTAGCAGAGACTTAAGTTCTGTTGCAGATATTCGAAACGACTACCAACAACTGAAAGACAAACTTCAAACTCAGGAGAAGATTTGTCAAGCTTTAGGTATAATGTTAAACTTGGTCGAACACAACCCTGTAAAAGTGAACTCATATGTCATTGCACCTCATGAAGTTTTGAAAGAACTATTGAAACTTTTGACAGAGGCAGACGATATAAACATCAAAGAAATAGAACCCGACGTTAGTTGCTGTGGTGTTTCATATAATGTCATTGACAAGATATACGTTATGAAAGGAGGTGAAACGTTGAACTTAAAATATAGTTTCCCAGACGTTATAAAAATATTTGACGACCACAACATTTCATTAAAATTTATTTGCTAAGTAAATGGCAGAAGACACAATGGTTTATACTATTACGACTAAAAACCCTGAGTCATATAATTCTATAACAACAAACTTACAAAGTCCTCAAGGACGATATTGTAAACTAACCTTAAACACAATGACGACTAAAGCTGTTTTGCTCTTTTGACACCAGAAGATTTTATTGTTGTGAATGGTAAAAAATACTCCTTTGAAGATACTTACTCAGATATACCACCAACAGGTTTTTGACTTATTTAATACTTTAAGTACGGGTGTAACATGTGCTGCAACTAGAGCAGGTTTCATTATGTTTGGATGTCCGACTGAGTTTACTATAAACAATATGAGCTATAATACAAAACTTATATCTGGTTTTTACTACCAACAGTTTCCTATAACAGGAAAAGGTGTCATACAAGGAATGTCTGTTCCATTGACTTTAAGTACACCTATTTTATATATTGTTTCAAACTTAGGTTCAAAGTGTTATTCGAATGTCGACAGAAACTACTATGACCAAAAGATACTTATGCGTATAAATAACACATTCTCTGCTGGTTTGCCTATTGTTCATTCGAATGCAGAGTTTTCAGCTTTAGTAAACTCAAACACTTTAGCAAACATAAACTTAACCTTAGTTGACGCAAACTTTGTTCCTGTAAAACTTTTATGTCCTATGTATTTGTCAATGACGGCAGAAAGTTTCGAATTGGAAGATGCAACTGGTGAAAGTATTGTATTACAAGAACAACTTCAACAACAAATAGCTCAAGAACAACAAATGCAACAAATAGCTCAAGAATAAAAAAAATATTTTTTTTTTTTTTTTTTAAAAATGTACAGAATAGATGTTTCAGATTTTTATGACTTCCAAACATTCAGAAATATGTGTCCATTTCGAGACTATAACAAAGCAGTCGAGAATTTGAAACGTTTAGTCATTTATGTCGACTCTGCCCCAGAATGTTATGTTATGAAAGAATGGGATGTAGTCTTTAACAAACCTAAAGCGACAATAGTTTCAGAACAAGAATGTAAACAGAAACTTAAGAAAATAAAAGTCGTACAAGTTGGCATGAAGATGTTAGATGCTTGGGATATCTTATTGTCAAACTTGAAGATTTTTCAGTTCGTGGTATAAAGTTTTATACACCTTCTCCAAACTTCTATTCTATCTTCACTGGATATAAATATGAACAAGTAGAATGGAAAGAAAATATTATAGAAGCTTGGTTAGACCATGTCAAAGAAATTATATGCAATGGAAACGAAAAGGTTTATGAGTATATCTTATGTTGGTTTGCAAACATCTTACAACATCCAAGTGCTAAAAATGAAACTGCTCTCATTATAATTGGAAAACAAGGAACAGGTAAGAACACATTCTTTACAGATATCTTATGCAAACTGTTAGAGGCTATTCGAACCCGAATATGACAAACTTAGAAAACATCTGCGGTAAATTTAACTCTTCAATAGAGAATATGAAACTTATAGTATGTAACGAACTTCAAAGTATAGATACAACAAAAGTTTTGAACTCAGATGCTTTGAAGAGTCTTATAACAGACAAAGTTGGAGTTGTTGAAAGAAAATATAAAGACCAAAGAGTTTGTGAAAATGTTGCAAACTTCATTATGGTTTCAAACAATGCTGTTCCGATGAAGTTAGAAAGTTCTGACAGAAGATATGTAGTTGTCAGAACGTCAGATTCTCATATGCAAGATACAGAATATTTTGACGACTTTAGCAGAAACTTTGACATCTGACTTTTACAACCACTTGTTCTCATATTTTATGACATTAGATATTTCAAAGTTCAATCCAAGACAAATTCCACATACCGAAGAGAGACAAACATTGTTAGAAGCAAACAAGAGTGTATATGAACTGTTCATAGATGAAACTGACTTTGTGTCATTAGATGAAAGGTCATTGTACGATTCGTATAAACAATATTGTCAAGAATATGGTTATATGACAGCGTCTAAACGAACATTCTTGGCAAATGTCAAAAGTCTTTTAGACGTACAGAATGGTGTATATACAAAGAAAATTTTTATGAGTAAATTTAAAAAAAAAATATTTTTTATCCGATAGAAAAGATGAAAATTCATCTCAGTAAACAAGTACATGTCAGACTTAAAGAAGAACTAGACCCATTCACATATTGAATGTTTACTTCTACCATTTTGAAAAGTCTACCATTGACAAAGTTTGGAACATCGAACCAGTTAAGTTTGCTATTGTGACTAAAAATGGTGCGAAATTTGAAGACTTAGACATAGAAGGTTTGTTAACAGTCAAAGAAAGTTTTGACAGAAGGTTCTCAAACCTTAAAGAAGGCAAAGCAACAAACTTGTTATACCTTATGAACAAAGAAAGCAGACGACTATGAATATTATGAGTCTAAAGTTGTAGAAGTATCAGTAAATTGGGTTAAAAAGATTTAGAGTCTAAGCCAGTGTTTACTCCTAAAGAGAAGAGAACATTGACATTGACCCAGAAATGTTCTAAAAATAAAATTTTATTTTTACATGTCAAATTTCTTTTTCTGGCTCTGGTCTTTCTTCTCTTCTTCTACTTTCTTTTCTTTCTTTTCTCTCTTCTTCTTTTCTGGATTATGTCAAACTTCTCAGAACCATATTTTTTGTAAAAGTTCTTTGTCCTTTAATAGCTCTTCTATTCTGTTTTCTATTTCATCTTCAAGAACAGTGCATGTGTCTTCTTTGCATTCTAAGAATTTTTGGACTTCATCTCTCCAAGACGTCATCTCTGTCAACAAGTCTGTCATTGACAAACTTAAAGACTTCTCTGCTTAATGTTTTATGGTTCTTGTCATATTCCCAGAAACAGAACTTTAGAACAAATTCACCTTTCTTGTTTACACTATGTAAGATTTTATGGTCGACAGATGTTTTGCTGTCGAAAAGCTTGTCTCGATATATAGATAGCGAAATCGCTAGACATTTTCTAAAAGATAAAAAATTTTAATTTTTCTAAAAATATGTTAGAAAAAAAGTTTGCTGACATTGACAAAAAAATTTGAGAATGTTTTAAATAAGAACAAAGGAAGTTGGAAAATGCTCAGATAAAACCCATACATGACAAGTTCTTATTTGCTCAGAATGGTATAAAACAGGTCTAATTGCACCACCTGGGTCGGTAAGACTTTCACTTATTTAAAATGGCTGCACAACAACAAGAACTAGATGAGAAGAACCCATTCTATGAGTTAGTTGTTATTTGTAGTACTTCTGGTCAATTTGACCAAACCGTCAATTCGTTCAAAGATATTATAAAGAAGTCTAAGTTAGTATGTATAAAAGACTCTGAGTTGTTAGATTGGATAAAGAAGTACAAAGAAGAGTTTTGAAGTATAATGCTATAAATGAGTATGTCAATTCGAAGTTTAAAGACCCAAATGAGGAAATGCAGAGAATATTAGAGAAGAAACACTTCAGAAACAACAGAAAGAGATAGAATACATTTCGAAGAAATTGCAATCTTACGATTGGAAGACTTACCCTCATAGATGTCTTCTTATCTTAGATGACTTTGCTTCTCACCCTTTGTTAAAGAACAGAGAACAAGACATGTGTCGAATTCTTAAGAAGCTCAGACACTTTAACATTTCAGTTTCATTTGTGTACAGACAGCCAAGAGTTTAAGTAAGGATGTAAAGAGAATACTTACTGATATATATACTTTTCCCCGGATTGTCCGAAGACGATTTCATGGAACTTATGAAAGAGTCCATGGCAGGTAAGTTTGACAGACATGAACTATGGGAGAAGTACAAAGTCATACAAGACCCTCATACTTCTTTCAGAATTCATATCTACGCAAACAAAGTTCAAATTGTAAAAAGTCAAGCGTAAAAAATGTAAGTGTTTAGTCTTAGTAAGTCTGTTGTGTGGCTGGGGCTGTCGGTTCTTCTGGCTTTGGAATGGACTCGGTTGGTGTACGTCGGACATTCGTTGTGTCCTGTCGGAAGGAAAAACTTTTCCTGTTGGAAGGAAAAACTTTTCCTGTTCGGAAGGAAAACTTTTTCTGTCGGAAGGAAAAACTTTTTCTGAAGTTCGACCAAAAAGTTCTCAAT